ACACAAATTAACGAACCTGAATATCACCCAACACAGAACAGTAGTTTCAGTTCACCATTTCAACATTTTAATAGGATCCCCTCCCCCACCCTAAAATAGCATCGTTAATAAGGGGGTAAAAATTATTCAAAAAAACAGTGTGGAGTGTGGTTCCATAATTTTTCAATACATAATTACTCGTCCAGTATAAGCAATTCCTGTAAAAATTATTTCGAAATAAATATTTCAGGTCGATGTGTATCGAAAAACTGTATTTCAAAGAGCAATGTTTTCAGTTCATACCTCTTTTTATTGAACGCGCTAAAATACTACAAGATGTACCTAAAATTTTTAATTTTCAGAGTCAACCTCAAATAGTAATTTGCATCTCATACGGATATATCTAATCATCATTTTATAGTGATGACATTCACACCGAACAATGTAAAAATTTACCAAGTACGTAAATTTAAATTTAAGCAAAAACGCATGTCCGGCCATCATCTTATCGTGAACAGTCCTCGTGCAGCATTTACATAATTTTTACCAGCCGAGCGCAAAAATTTCGATATCGATTACACAATTGAGCTATATTAAGACTAAAGGTTAAGATTAACGAGGATCCAATTATTTTAAATCTCCTTTACCTCCAACGAGTTATTTCGACCAGTGGAGGCACGCATCGGCAACACGCTAAGAAAATCACCGATCCGACATCAAGTAGACAGAAAAAAGATTCTAATCGTGTCGAATTTTCTCGTTGTTTCCGCATTGATATGATATTAGCACAAACACTTATCCCCACTGCTTCTGCTAGCGTTGTTCGCCAGGTGATAAAAGGTTTATCAATGTGACATTGGGCCAGTGTTAGCAAAAAAAATATTTTCATTTGTTCGCTTTTTTCGACGTGCAATTTATATCTCCTAAAATTGCTCGCAAGGCCAACACGTGAAATAACTCTGTAAACGATTAAATAAAACGGCCTTGCGTATTAACGCGTAATTGCGAAATTTTTGATATCAGTGGAGGTTGCCTCCTTATCTGCGATCAATAAGCGCGAAGTAGCAAGTGCAAAAATCAATTACCTGACAAATTTATCTGAGGAACGACCCAAGTTTTGCAGAGATGCTGAAAACAGCGAAAAGTACAACTCAGCTGGCGTCATCCGAAAAATCAATTGGAATGAAATATGCACATGTAATGAAATCAGCACTATATCGGTCTCTACAGCACCGCACGGTTTTATTTTGGTATATACATTTATTGCCAAGGTTACAACGTATTAACCGATGATAATAACAATAATAACGATTAATACTTGAGATACTTAAAACGATCTTATCGTCAGTGAACAATCCGGGAACATGGCGAAAATGTTTGAACTATTATTGTCTTGTTCGTATTTCCTTCGTACATTAGGTAGCGGTAAATAAGATCATCTTTATGTATTTCAAATTTAATGTTTGTTCACGTTACAAATTATAGCTTGTTTGGCATTGACGTTTTGACTATGCGTACTTTATTTTGGCTTTATAAACGGAATTCAGCGAGTACAGTAACTGTAAAATCCCGCTATACCTACAATGTGAAAACTATTTATGCAATAAGTGCAATAATTTTAAAATTGGTCGAAGGTTATTTCGACAAAGCTTCTCTTGCCCCTGAGGTACAATCCAACAAATTTTGCGAAATTTTACTTTTTACGTTTACGTGTACTTACTTAGCGTAAGCCGGCGTAAGCTAAGGAAGTATAGTAATCGAGTCTTTCGGACGAATTACCACTTCCATATTTTCTTGACGTATCATGCATGACCTCAAGAGTACGAAAAAGTGGTCTCCCGTTTTAGCCCCACCAATAATGTGATAATGTCACTTCAAAATTGTAGATAGTAACTGGGTTTTAAATTGTATAATATAACATAGTCCTATACATGTAGTTTACGACTCCGTATTGAGTTTTTACCCGAAACGTTAAGATTTTTGGAAAAAATACTTCCTTTGCTTACACTCGGGAAGTAAAAATCAAAATTATAAAAGAACATTTTGCAATTTAATTTTGAATATGCAAAACTGAAAGCCTTTAGATCTTGCAGATGGTTTACAGTTATTAAAAGCATGATAAATTTTTAATGAAAATATATTTACTTATCCCCTCCAAAAAACTGATGACAGCTCAAAAGTTTGCCGAATAAGTCTTATCTAAAATGAACAGAATATGATGCGTCTGTACTTGTGATTTATCATTCCATTCATATTTTTTGGATTTACATATACAAGATGACTCAAAAAAATTAATGAATGCGTGAATTTATTTTATTTATCTAATAAGGAATTATAAAACCGAATGCTTTGAAATCTTAAGAGATGTTTTGAAGTTATCATAAGCATGATAAATTTTTGATCGAAATGTATCTGATCATCCCCCTAAAAAATTGATGACGTCACGCCAGAATTTTGCTGAATAAACCGTATCTAAAATGTACAAAATATGACGAGTCTGTACTTGTGATTTATCATTCCACTCATATTTTTTGGATTTGCATATGTATACAGGGTGATTAAAAAAAATTAATGACTGAGTCAATTTATTTTATAGATTATTCCAAAATTGCAAAACTGAATATTTTGAAATTTTGACGTTTTGAAGTTATTGTAAGCATGTATAGATAATGCCAACGTGTTTGGCGAAACGCGTCGACAAATATATTGTGTTTTTGGTGTTGTGGAAATACACGTTCTATGTTCGAAAAATCATAAAATTTAATTTTGCGAATTTTATTTTTACTTCCTGAGCGTAAGCAATGAAAGTCTTGTAATCAAGTCTATGGGGGGGCGACTGACCACTTTTATGTTTTCTCGACATTTCATGGTCCATAGAGTATGAAAAATTAGGTCTCGTAGCTCAGTCTGTGTACCGTCTGTTCAGATTTTTATTAGGCAGATAATCTCCAAAACTACCGGACCGATTATATCTGATATATATGTTAAGAATATCGTGTAGATGGTAAAAGTCTAACCAAAATTTGCCCAATCTCCCTATCAATGTCATGACATCTCAAGTGTTTATAATAAATTTTATAAAATAGCATACTCTTGTATTTGTTTTATTGAATACAAATTCGCAAAATTATTTTTTTTAATTTTTCGACGAAGCGGGATTTGTGACACTGCACTTTGGTGGCGAGGGAAGTCCTGTCGAAATACATTTTTTTTTTAAATGTTCCGGCTGATCTCAGTTTCCTAAAATTCCGCCAACACAGTTGTTATTAGTATTACACACCATCTACCCAAAGTCATTTATTTGTCGCTGCTAAAAATCTGGTGAAGTCCTCACAAACTTTTATCAAGAAAATGTCGCGTGAAATATAAGCATTCCATGCTCCTTTATCTGCAGTTTGACAGTAATCTAACCTTATTTTAACGCATGGGAGTTTTACAGCAAAAAAAGCCTTCTCAGAATCAAATTTTATAATTTATCTAAGAAGACATTGGATTTATTTAATCGATTATGCCAAAGGGCGACGGAAATTCTGTCTTAATAATTTTGAACAAATTTTTTTCAAGTACCGCGACTCATTATTATTATATTAGAAAACACTTCTCGATTTTATATTTTTTTAATTCACGGAACACAAGGCACAGATAACATAATGATTTACGTTATCTCTAGATACATATTGAAACGAATATATTTGTTCTCATCAAAAAGTTGATGAGATCATTTTAACTTACAGAGAAGAAAAAAGTTTGATAAAATTGTAAACATTTTTTAAGGGGTACTTGCGCCCCGCAGCACACTTTTCGATGGTAAATTGTACATAACGATTACCGGAAAGCTTGTTTAACGGAATTAACCATCTTTCGGTCTTTTCTAATTAGTAATGATCCAGTTTGAGAATTCTTGTAGTTGTAACGAAACCTAAAAAAAAAATCTAGTAGATTCATTATACCTAAATAAAAGAAATTTCGTATTGGTTTTGAAAAATCACTAACATCTTCCAACTGCGGTGGGGACAATATACAACAGCATTTCATTTAAATTAACATAGAGCTAACAAAAACATCGTATAATTTAAGGTTACTCAATTAATTTTCGAATTTACATAACGAAACACTTTCTCGTCTCTACTGTTTACCGATTCTTTCCGCTCCGTGTTGATATTAGTAACAAGAATGTTCACAACAGAGGTTACACGATGGTGAATCTCAAATGCAAATTGCAAGCCAAAGCCACACAAAAATATCACAATTAAAACCAAATTAATTTTGATAAAGACGAACCACTTCATTACAATAAACGGTGCTGCAAATACCGTAATTAAAACATAAATTATATCATTCTCGGCGATAAATAACTCAGATACTCAGACCGTAATGCAGAAACAAGAACAGTACGATGCATGGAGCTATTCCCGGACGATGACCGAGGCCTTGAAGGCCTCCTGGGTCCGATGGCCCCACGAAGAAGAACAAAAGTATACAGCTGGAACGGTCGTCGACAAGAAAAAATATATGAAATGTACGAGACGAGGACAACACAACGACCAAAAAAGACCAACAATATTATGGTGAAAATACCCTTGAGCCGACAGCTGAAGAACGAACCCTCTCCCCACCTAGCAGGGCCGGACCTGCCGGATTTTCGCAGCATTTGGATGTGCTCGGTTTTCCAAAGCGTGGCATTTGAATGTGGGGTTTCATGGCGATATTAGTCGGCATTTTGGGGTCATTGAAAATATCTAAACTGAAGCAACCAGCCGTGCTCTACATAGACTGGCACACATAAACATGGGTGGGTTACTCTATTATATCGTTTCTGGTGATGGGCAGACTTGCAATAGGTAACGTTGACTACGCGAGGCGCCGGCCGAAGTTACACATGTGCCAACTAACACAAGGCTAATACAACACAAAATTAAAAAAAAAAATCAAAGTCCACATATGTAATCTTTGCAGAAAATTAAAATCATAATAATAACACTAAAGTAATTAAGTCTGTTTTTCTTTTCAAAAATCCTTACCTAGCTAAGGCCATTTTGACATTGGTTAATCCTTAATCTAGTCAACAATCACTGGAAAATTATTCACTGTTTCACTCAGAAAGCACAGCACCGCAGCACACGTTTTTCACTCGACTGTCAAACTTAACCCTACTTTGTAAAAATAAACAATGCGCCGAGCAATTCGAACAAGCCCACCTCCCTCTGCATTCGGTGGGGAACTACATCAAATTAGAGATCCGTCCTTTACCGTCCCCCCACTCACGGAGTTCAGTGGAAAAAGCACCAATCGGGTGAAGTCGACTAAGGTCGTCGGCGACGTCAAAGACAGAGAAATTCTGAAATTCTCTAGTGAAGAGATAAAGCTCCGGTTCGATCAATACGACCCAAGTCCTTCCAGCGTTGCACCACCTAAAGCTCTGCCGCACTCGATCCAAAAAACCCAACCAGACCAATATGATCGTAAATTTTGCGCATGTGTGTGCCACCCAGTCATATTAAATTTCAAGGAGCGGGAAAACGACACAACTTCATCAACAGGAGGAGGTGTACTCTATACAATGGAATTATTTATTCAACCGAATGACATACATCAAAAACCGATTCCGAAAATCGACAACGACTGGTCATAACAAGTTCAGAATGGTAATCATTGAGATTTAATAAATCCCTTTAAAAATTTAACCAGGGTTTCGTAAATAAAAACTGACTTCAACAAAACAATAACACGAAGATATACGCGCAGAGCTCTCGAAAAATTTGCTTTTTTGATAACGTTACGTAATTATTATTGCATTGTGGTTGAGCCGCTCATGCCACCAATGATGGACCCTTTTTTAATTCGCGAGATGTGATTAAAAAATAAGAAATGAAAAAAATAATCCCACGAAGTGCTCTGTACTTGGGTAATTCTACTTTCGCTTTTCCAAGCAAAACCAATTCTGTCAATTTAGGGGTGATTATAATTTAAATTAATTTTGATTTCCTCATGATTGGAATCAACAATCAAATGTGTATTAATGTTTGCCTAACTAACTCACTCAGAAAAAATGTGTCCGTAAAGAATTACCCATTCACCTCCTTTGTATTTTACAGGGACTTACAACCAGACCCACGTTACAACGATATAAATCAATGGCATCTGTATGTTTAATGACGAAATATTTAATTCAACGTCTAAAGATGATCATTCTTGAACAAAAAAAAATTGTCACAGTAAACTTCGAGTTACACATCTATGGCCTAATTTCTATTGAAGACCCGCTCATGAGAATTTTAGATTGTTGGCCATTCTACTCAATTAAATGCTCTCTACAAATAAATGAATGTAAATTGCATGTTGAAAACGTACGAGATATTGTTCGCTACATTAAAAAAACAATACTTTCTACTGTGCGGAAGATACGACGTATCATACATTGTGCCGGTAATTTTTGGAAGTATGTCTTTAATTCGGTCGCCTAATTAGATGTAACGAAGTCTAAAATAATTCATTCAAATGTAACAAACAATTAACAAATAAAAATTGTTACAATTTAGATTCAGTAATTGTATCAGAACATTCCCGTAACCACCTCATGCCTTATTAAGGGCATACACTAGTTTAATGTTAAGTACTTATTTATTTCGGCAATCGCAATGTAAATAAAAGATTTTGCGTATCTGATAACTATTTCACTTGTATACAGTGCAACCGCTATTGTAGAACAAGTTTTATAAAACTCATAATTATTGATAAAAACACTGAAACAGATAAACATTTTTACCTCCAAAGAGTTTTTAACTTGGAGGCTAGACAACCGGTGAAAAGTTGTAGACTGCAGTTTTCATGTCCTTACGGTCTCATCAGTACAGCATATTTCAGTGGTTATCTAGTACTCCAAGTCATTTACTAAAACCTAAGGGCACGTATCTTTCTTTTAGAGGGTGACGCCGGTGATCGCAGATATAATTCAGCGTTCCGCGGGGCTCTTGTCCCGAAAGTAGCTGTTTCCTCCCACTGGCGGTTCAATTAAAAAGTGCGCATGGATTTGCATAAAAAAGAACCCATGAGTCAGCGCTTAAATTCCTTACATCTCGCCAGATAAATATTTTTTACACAAGCTTCATTCGAAAACGAAGTTTTTATCTCCTTCTTAAAAACAGCCGGTTAACAAAAAACCGTGACAATCATGACAACATTAACAATAAAATTTCAAATTTTCTTTTAAAATATCAAGTGGATCAAAAATCAACTTCCTCACGATTTTGTTAATAAATAGTAATTAACAGTACGGTAAAGTGTAAAGAATTTTAATTGGTAATTTAATTAGAGTCTGACTGAAACTGATCTGCTGTACCGAAACATGTACCACGTACAGCAATGTTGTGTACCAATTAAAGTATTTTAAAATCAACTGTGTCGTTAATTACTATTAAAGCAATGTTAGTATGTTGTCTAAATTTAAAAGACGTTTATTACATAATTTTTGAGATAAAATGTTAAATTATAACACATACAAACTAAAATTTTTTTAGGATACATATACCACAAATGTAGATCCTACTATTTTGTACATTTTAGATATCATTTATCTATCAAAATTTTGAAATGACCCCTCCAAATTTTTTGGAAGGGGACAAACAGTTAAATTTTGATTGACGATTTACCATGCTTGATAATCTTTTGATTTTTTATTTCCTGAGCGTAAGCAAAGGAAGTATTGTAATCGAGTCCGTCGACCGACTCTCTACTTTTACGCTCGTCTTTGTAACAATCAAATAATGATAAAGTAAGAATTATAATAATAACATTCAAAACATTTTGTTCAATGGAGACTTGTGGATAATTTTAGTCATCTGTTTTGAGGCGTGACATTCTTCCGATGTATAATATAACAACATTAACATTTTTGATAATGTGCTGTAAATAAATTTTTTGCACTCGCGACCTTTTTTGATGACCTTCGCGCATTCACTAGGATGCGGGAGGTCAAACTTCGCGCACACGTGCTTTTTGCTTTCCGTTGCAATGGCAACCTTAAAATAGCCCGAAGACGTCAAATTGCCAAGTGTTTACGGCGGCGTCAACGTCGTTGTTTATAATAAAACTGGCCGGTCGAAATTTATTCATCCCCACTATCCGTCTGCAGTGCGCCCAGTGTAGGCTTGCTTTACTCGCTGCTTGCTTTACTCGCTGCTCGCTTTCCGATTGTGCATTATTTTTGGTAATTTACAGAAATAGTTTTATTTTCAGCGAGGCCGACACTTGAAAATTATTAAAATTATCATTATTATTATGTCGTGGATACGGATTTTAAAATCACCAACTGACGTTCAGTTAACATTAGTTTTCCCATAATTTTCTTCGGGATGCGTAGCATCGGCTGCGAGTCACTGATCTGCCGTGGTAGGGGTCCATACGCAGCGCATAAATTTCAACCGCCTAGCCCTAATTATAAATAACTTACAGTTAATCTTTTCGGTTTAAAAATTTATTCCTTGCAAAAAATATTGTACACAACACGTTCGTGAAGCCTGCTTCTCGTTTATATTTGCTTAAACAGATGGCTCAAAAAAAATAATGAATGGAACAATTTATTTTATTCACTAAATCAGAAACGGCTCACTCGATTTTTCCAGAGAATTTTGGGAATACAATACAGTTATTTTTAGTATTACACTGCACCAATCCAAGTTGATATGCGTGTCCTTGCAAAAATGTTGATGACGTCATCACAAAATTGTGTAAAGAAAAAACTCAACTCGAAAATGCTGGATATGTTTCATTGTACGTCAGGAGCGAGGGAAGTTCTCTCGAAACAACTTTCGACCATTTTTTTACAAAAAACTGGACTAGAATAAATCAAGATAAATTCATAAAGTACAAGTATATAAATATATATGTTTTTATAAAATTTAAATAGTATTTACGACTATAAATTTTAAGATGATGTCATCAATTTTTGGTGGAGATGATCAGACAAGTTTTGGTCGGCGTTTTACTATATATACGACATCCTAAAGTACATATTAAATTTCACAAAATCAGTCCAGTGTTTTTGAAGATTGCCTGCCTACTAAAATCGCAAACAGACGATAGACAAACGGACGCGGCAGATATATTTTTCATATTCTAGGAGTAATGAAGCACTGTAAAAACTTTAAATTAGCTTATGTTCGGAAAGTAAAAATGATGCCAACCCAATTCAAATAAGAAATTGATAATGGTATCTCAAAATATTATCAAATAATTCTCGCATCTAGTTTAACAATATACCCCTCTTGCTGTCCAAAAAAGTATATCATCAACGTATTCAGTTTATATTTCATGTAAAGAACGACATAAAACGAAGTTCAGTGATTCAATCGTTCCAACGATATCTCATCGGTCAATTTTGTTAAACAAATCTTACTTTCTATCTATGCTTTCTGTGTATCAGTGCCTCCCTCTATCCACGCTACTCCAAATAATTAATCACCAAGGTATTGAAAGTTTCTGTACGTATACTAACCTGTGTATAGATTATATACTCTGCTTGAAAAGGTTACAACCGAAACAGACAATAATTAGTTTAGTGAGAGTTATAAGCAGAGGACACGAAATATTGACCTCGGACAGGGAGGTCGTCGAGGAAACGCTGTGCCACAGACCGCGAAGAAGAATATTTTTGGGTCAAACTAAATAAAAAGGGTCACTTTCGTATTGTAACCTCCTATGACAAATGAAACTGCTTACTTTTTTTTCACAGTTTGTACACCTCTAGCATCTGACATATTTGTTTAACAAGGGTATAAAACTATATAGTTATTTTATTAGTTACACAGAGCTTCCTAGTCTCGAAGGCACAATCAATATCACATGACGTCATCAACTTTTTGAGGTACGAACTAATGAACTATACGTCTCATATATCAAATACTACTATAGTATGAGATATTATGGGTATGTATCAAAATTAATATATCTTGCAACAGAAGCATAAGCATGCTTCTTTACCGCTATTTTATTTTACCATAGAGGAGTTATTATACAAAAAAATTAATTTCTAGAATCAAATTTACATAAGAAAAATTGACTTCGTTCATTGATTGTGTTTCAAAGGCAAAGGACGCTCTATCTCAATAACTTTAGATACATTTTTTAAATGTGATAATAAAAAGTATTTTGCGGTAATTTTTTCCAAAGATTCGTAGTCTAAGAAAACGTGCTAGTCCTTATGGAAAATAATATTATGTACAACGTCTGACGCTTCATTTGATTCTAATTTTAGTTTGCTATCGATAATAATTTTTTAGTTTGGAAAATAATTTAGGAAAATTATCATTGAAAGCTTCATTTCTTTTACACAAAGCTGAAATTCCAATGTGAAAGTTATCTTCGTATGTTGTATTTCTGTTTTGAACACTTTGTTGGCCACTGGTCTAAATTTAATCCCACTCGATCCAGACTCTTGTGAAATCCACTTTCACTAGCGTGGCCAAGTTTCATAATTAAACGGGGACGATTCTTACAATAATTGATTTAGACTATGCAGGGTACTTCAGAGAGACCCTTCACTTAATGAGGCAAGAAATATTTTACTGATTTGATTTAGTAATATGCGATAAATAATGAAATTTGATAAAACTAGAAGTAATCTCAACTGAAAAATTGGAAAGTGGAACTACTGTTAATACGTTCTGAAAATGTAAGAAAGAGAAGAGCTACGTCGTGATTACGATTAGAAGGAAACTGAAAAAGCGCTGAATTTACCGAAGGTTGAATAACCCTCGTATTCATTTAAAACAGCAATTTTGAACACACAAAATTTGAAAGATTTTTTACAGGTAAAAAAATCAGTTTTTAAATACTTTAAAACACAATTATAAAATTCAAAAAACATGTCAAATGATCCGCTCGACATTTCCCTTACTACTGGAACTTAATACAGTAGGAATGAACTTCCGAAATCTTAATTACACATTCCACACTCAAGTTTTAAAAAGCCACATCCTATTTGCTTAATTAAAAACTTAGTCCAGTTCAAAGACATTTAATCATTTTAATAAAATAATAAATTGATATGAGTAATATGTAATAATAATTATGTATCAGAAGACTATATGTATTTTATCTTTTTCATGCATAGCCTGAGATCTAACATAAATTACGCTTAGTACGCTCTATTTTATGCTCGAAAAGTATTGTAGTACAATATTTTTTTTAATTTTGGTAAACCCTAACTTTGATTTAATGATTAATTGATTAGAGACCAAAGACTAAAATTTATTTATTCATCCCCTCTACAAGTTAAAGATGTCATCGCAAAAATTTAGTAAACAAATGAAAATGTTTCGAGATACAATGTTTATACAGAATGTTAAAAAATATATGAAGGGCCAATTAAGTAGTAGTGATTAAATACAAAATGTTTTATCAGATATTCCCAAAATTATATTCTGAGAGCGTCATTTTCATTTTAAGATAATAAGTACGGGTTATCATAAAAATAAAACTTGTAGAACCAATTTTTGTTTTTTATCTATGAAACTGTTCTGGGCGAACGATACAAGATTTTTTGTGTCTATTTTTATATAAATAAAACATATAAACAGTATGTACATAATAATAAAAATGAAAGTGTATATAAACCCTCCATAGCCGAAAGCTCGACGACCGAATTTCGCTTGGTGCTGATTGCTGAACATTTTTTTCTCGCCTTTGCAGGATTTTTTTACATTAGACACATTATTTACTTTATTTATTCCTAAATTAAAGTGTACAGTTTCGGCCACAAAATCTTGGGCGTTTCTATCATTCCAGTGAAATAAGCTCTAAAAGAGGCTTTACTTATAACCTCAAATTTGCCATGTTTGTCATTTTGACGTAGCCTGGAATGTGGATGATGACGTATGTCAAAATTTATATGACGTACGTCGAAATTTATTTTTTAAAAGTGTCAGTCATTCTGACAAAGCATAGACTTCATCGTGTTTTTTTTAATGACAGAACAACAACAATAACAATCGGAGATTCTAATTAAAAACAAAAAAACTTTGCTTTTTGCAGAAACATCCACAGAGAATCCACTTGTCAGTGACGGAATGATAAGCGACAAAATAATAATAATAATAACTTTATTATCCAACGAACAGTTAAGTTCATATATGACACAACAAACTAATTATAATAAATAAAACATTTAGAAATTAGAAAAATGAAATGACAAAATAACAAAATAAAAAATTGGTGCAGTGATTTCTGGACAAAAATAAATTAACAAATAAACAAATAAATTGATCAAGTAGGCACTATTGGTAACAATCAGCAACTTACAATAAATGACGAAAGATTAGGGTAAAATACATCAAATGACGTACCGTACGTATTAAAAAGTGTACAACATCTTAAAATAGATGAATTTTTATAAAAAAAATCAACCGATATCGATAATCATAAAAACTCCCTAGGTTTTTGCCGAACTAGTGTACATAATAGTGCGGCAATTTCTGGTTTCTCGTCGTTAAAGACTCATCCAAACCAGTGATACGGGGTTGGAGGCATAAAAAATATTTTGCACAAATTACTGAAATAAGGAAACTTGTTTCCTGATCCATCGTAGTTTATACATATGTATGTATTTAGTTTCTCGTTAATAGCAACAGTCCAAAAACAGTCACATTTTACGATAGAGCATTCTAAAGAGTTGGTAGGTACTTTGAAATGACATTTCGCACAATGAAGGATATCCAATGCTAATGTGTAACTTGTTATTACAGCAACTTTTAAAGTAAGCTTTATGAGTTAGACAACCGGAAAAAAAAATAACACACACCGATAATTAAACAATGAGAAAAATATGACAAAAAGTTAACTTCTATAATTGCATTATTTGTTACATTATATCATATCAATACTTTTCACGCGCTGATAATGCTGTCTGCTTATCATCCGCTTTTGGCACAGTTCGGCCTTTATTATTTGAATATGGAGCAGTTTTTGCTTTTTTTTATTATTGCATTAAAATTTTAAAGCGACATCAAATGATTAAAGCAAGTAGTGGCTTTACACCCTTAGATATTTCTTAAGAATTATTACTAGACCTGTAAGGAAGGGAACCTGTTGTGTATACTTTGCTGAATAAGACACTGAAAAATATAGCATCTACGTATCGTGTATTTCTACGTTTCTATTCCGAAGTGAATGCTATCTTCGTTCATTTAAATTTATATCTCAGAGAGCATAAACCGACGATATTCTTGGAAGAAAAGCAGGTAAGGATAGTGTGTCAATATATTGAATTAATGTAGCCCTTGGCCTGACCCGGATTTTGTTGAATTACTTAACAATGTCTGATCAAAGTAAAGCGAACAGGCTTAAATAAAACTCAAGTAAAAAAAATAAATAAATAAAATAGTTACGTCTAACCCTCGCGCTCCGCAACACGATTTAACCTTGAAAAGTTCACACTCTGATAATAAAACAGATAGGAAGCAATATTTGTTTTTATTTGGATTTATTTACAAACGCTGGAGCAAACAAGGTCTACTTTCGTACTTATTTATAATGGCGTATACGCGAGGAGTATTTCCAAATTTAAAGCAAACAAGCAAAGTATTTTCAGTTTGGAAATATGAAGTACCCAGAGTCAGTACCACAAAAGATAACCTTCAAAAATAAACATATGATACATACCCAATATTTCACGAATTCTTCATTCACCTTCACGCCAGCAACATGTTAAGATGTCATTAAATAACATTTTTGCGAACCATATGTACACTTATATCACAAAACTACTACGGAAAAACCTTTTTTCATGGGAAATAAAATTTAGGACTGCGAAACCATCTTGTTCGATCGTTGCAACTACCTTCGACAGATGGCGCTATGCGTTTCAAATTTCTTCGCATCGTAAATACGAATGTTGCAAATTAAATAAATCAAAACGTACTCAAGTAACTTGTATTTGTATAGCACAATTTTTTTTATAAAAATAGTCGTTTTTGTTAAATTGTCTGTTCCGTCAAAAATTGCTGCAGAACAGTATTAGCAATTGGAATTATTACATACTCCGTACCATCTGGAGATCGTTTATATTTTACCATTTTATGATCCACGAATTCAGTCAATTGCGCCCTCAGGGCAAGATCTGAACTTACCAGAAATGCCTCCCTACATAATGAATACAGATCCTTGAACGCTAACCCTAAACAAAGTATATATAAAATTGCTGCTTCCTTAAAACTCGATTAAACTTACCTTGATAATACTGTTTTTTGATATTTTCCATTTGATATTTAACAAGAATAAGATATATACCTTTGGAATTACTAGTTAAAGACAAGAAAACGTTCCTTAATGATGACAATGCTAAAGTGCCTGTCCTTTGCACCATCATTGAACCTTCAAACAAAGTTTCATCGGTGTATGATTGAAAAGTGGTAACATCCCACCACGTGAATTTAAATTTACTCAGTTTTGAATGATCCCAAACTACAACATTATTTTTAGATACTTATTAACACATTGTCCAATAAATTACTTAATGGGGCATTTATATGTTCAATTGTTGCAATAAGATGAATATTACTAAGTGTAGAAAGTCTAGCAAATACAGTCTGGGCTTTACCATTCCTTATCAGATCTATATTGTGAACAAGCAAATACAAATGAGTGTCAGAGATATAGCTAAATTCTCGTTCAACAAGCTCACATGCTTCAAAAACATTGGCTGGAGTTTCTTTCAATTCTAACAAATTTAAAATTATGCCATCCAAAACATCCTTAATTGACAGAGAAGGAAAAAAACCATTCACCACAATTGTTGGTAATTTTTTTAAATATTTTTCATGAAAAATATTTAGTATGTCCTTTTTAGAACCTAACCCATACAACAAAATGTTGATGTTTTCATGCATTAAATACATCCATTTTTCAAAATAAATCCTATTCCGTTCTTTTAATCTCTGAGAAGCTGCTGAATGCTGGGTACTCAATTTTATCCTTGCCAACAACTTTTGTAGTTCATCTTGAGATAATCTTGGAGTTTCCAATTTATCCAATGTATGGTTGGACGTCAAGATCTTCTTTGAAGCATGATTTGAAAAATAATCCTCAGTTTTTATTCGGTAGCTCTTTGTTATTCTTTTAGATGTTTGTTGTTGCTTGAAAATAACCTTTGGGGCGTTTGTCTTACTTTTAATTGGTGTTGGTTCATTAGCACCATCACTGTTGGTGCCTGATGTGGCCTCACTCTCTGTTTCATTATCAGAAACAACATATTCACTATCACTACCTGAAAAATCTGCCTCACTCGAATCATCTAGGACTCTCATAGCAATGTCTAAAATTTATTAATGAAAACATTAAATTAGCACGAAAAAGAATTCAACCTTTTTTGAACTTGGTTCTAAATGTCTGGGGGGTTTTAGGAACCATTAACTGAATCATGGTTTCACATTTCTTGCGGACTTGGAATGTAAAAATTTTATCACCAGTAACGTGTTCATTTTCATGTAAGACTACATAAAAATTATATTTATAAATATATGTATGTATATGTATATATTATAAGGATCACTCACTTAATGGTTTGTCATTACTATCACTCTCATCTGATTCAGATTCTGAGGCACTTGTCACAATAATTGGTCGTTTATCTTCGTTTATAGTACTTCTTCTAGTGTGAGTAGAAAGGAATTCTGAAGCCTTTTGACTTAATTTACGTTGTCTGGTGCCTCTACGAGGCGAAAAAACTTCTAGGTCTCCTATTGAAGGTTAGAAATTACAAAATAAAAAATTCCCGTTACAAACTATTCAAACAAACCTTCCATGAAATATACGTCCTGTTATCAACTTTAAGGATCACATAAATGCACTTATAATGTGAATTAAGTTCAAACCAATTCCACTAAATCTAGATGTCAAATTTTGGCGGTATAACAAGAAGGAATTAGTTTTTAGTTTGTAACTAGCAGCAGGAAGAAGGAACTGGAAATCGTAAATTGGTAAACTTGCAATTGACAGATTCACACCACAGTTCACCCTGTGGCCACAGTATAGATATCAATCAGTAGAGACAACTCGGTATTTTTACTGACCCATTTTCATGGGTGGTCGTTTGTCTTGTGACCGTATGAGGGCGCGCAACGCAAAGTACTTCTCTTTCTTACACACTGGGACATTGAACTGCGGTACTTTGGTTGTCTAGTGACTTTAATGTGAAATATTTGAAATTTGGCAGTTTAGTTGCATTGGTTTTGATGATTTAAGGCTGATCTTCCGGTGTAATTATTGCAGTTAAGTGTAATTTTCACAGAGACATTTTAAAAAGCGTTGTTCACGTTTTCATAGGACCATTGTTTACAGTTTATTTTTTTTGTAAAAAAAATTAAATGTACATATATTAGCGTTTTCTAATAACGTTGAATTTTACAACCATTTACAGCCATCATAAAAAAGAAATTAATAAAACGTAAAATCGTAATCAGAGAAGCGGGCCACATCTAAATTTCTACACGGCATCTCTGTTATAGGGCGCTTAATTAATTGTTTATTATAATAGACTGTGTGGTTTCTAAGATCAACTAGTTACAAAATGTTATTGTTATTACACTATTTTTAAGTCTTTTCCAAAAATTCATTTGCATAAAGTGTAGTAAATTGTGTACACGAATCAATTTTAAAGTGAAGCGTTTGTGATCCTTTTTAAATTGGGTGGTGACATCTAGAAATATTTTGGGCAACGACTACCGATGACGGCTTAAAATTCGGGTCAGAAAGATCAAAGGCGCCGACACGAGTTGTCTCTACTGATTGATCTCTATACTGTGCTGTGGCCTCACAGCTTATATGCAACCAGATATACATTACATACAATACACCGTCACTTTGGAGTCTATGAAATAAATCGACCATCCAAAAAAATTTTTATTTTACCAACATTTTTTCGTTTCAGAAAATATCTCTGCCTATATCCTTAAGTTAGGTTCTACTTACATTAATCCGAATGTTTTAAGATTGCTAACAAGCATACGTTAAGAAATAAGCAGATATTCTCGTACCATCCACTTGCATCCCAGCATACATTGTGCATTGATCATTCTTTCCTCCATTTCTCCGTACTATGCGAGCCTAGCACATAAATAAGTTCGGTTCCTCTCCTTTCATTTTCATCGTAACGATGGGTTTAAAGAACAAAAAACGACGTAGGTCTTCATAGTTTTTAAAATTGATTTTTATTATTGAATGTGGTACATGTTTTACAGAACTACTGCTCACCTCTCCAGCTTAGGAAATTAACTTATATAATGGGAATTTAAATGTAAGGCAACCTTACCTTACTAGAAAGAACGAATGTGATATCAGAGGTGATATTGTCAAACGTACGTTTTTCCTATTTAATGTCAATGTGACTTATTTATTAGTGATGAAAAGGTTGCAATTAAGGCAATGCGAAAATACACAAATTGAAAATTTGCACGCATTATAAACCTCAATTCTTAAAAAACCCAAAAATCAATGTCATTGTGCTGTTAAAAATTGATATGAAATTCATCGCATAGAAAACCCTACAAGTGAGGATATTCTGTGGCTCACCGTGACGATCATCTTCTTAGAATACATCTTTTTCTTTAACTTATTAATTAGCTTATTACGAAAAAGGAAAATGATCACATAACCTTGCATCAAATCCAGGTGAAATCCAGAATGTACCTACCACACCGAAGTTGCCGCACAAGTAGAATAATCGTTGTACACAAACACAATAACTTTCATATAATGCGATTTGAGAAGTCGCTTAACATTAATTATTATCATCCACTACTGCTATGATTCACTCTCGTAAAAAGAGAGTACGACTCCGTACTGACAATATCTTCAGACTTACGATACACAAATATAAAGTCCATATATGTAGACGTCATAACACACAGGAGTATTCCAAAATGTAATCTACTGAATCTGATATTTCACGTTACTTTTTGAAGTATAGGTTTATTTATCAACAATGTGGAAAATTACAAGGTGTGAACCCTTCGGCGTTAACTATCTACTAGTTACACATTACTATTATAATCCGTAAATTACTCGGAAAATGGCGACTTTCAAATCATTTCGAAAATTCTGAAAGAATTCTATCAAGAAATGTTGAAAAAAAAATCCCAGATCACTTTATCTGATACCTTCTAGATTATTAGTTTTTCTGAATATCGCCTTTTACTGACACGTATTATATGTATGATGAGTAAAATAAATTCACAATTATACCTAAGAAAATGTATTTAATTAATTATAATGAGCATTTAGATTAAGGGCCGGTTGCATAAACGCAAATCAAATTTAATCTCTGATTAACACCATAGTAACGATTGTTATTATCATAGTTACAATTGTTCTTAATCAGAGATTAAATTTGATTTGCGTTTATGCAACCGGCCCTAAGTGTTACAAAAAAATGATCAATAGTCCAAATCATAATAACTAAAAGTAGAGAAGAAATTAACTAAAGATAAAGATATACTGCTTTTTAACACCACCTAATAATAACGGTTGTTGTAAAAATCCAGTCCCCATATATTACATAGAAGTAGGCGACCAAAAATTCATCTCTCGCAGCTCAGACGGTTTGGGTGTAAACACTTGACTCTTTGTCCTCCCAGACAGATCATCGATACTCACGTTCGAATTTGCAAGCTTCAGTTCACTTCCTTCTTCTTCTGCAATATGATTCATTGATTGTGACACATCCTGTCTCCTCGCTAGCAAATTCGACAGAATCCAGTGCCCATGATTATTCTCCGAATCCACAAACGGTCCCGTAAAGTACTTATTAATCCGACGGGTGCTCTTCGGCGACGAAGAGGGAGAAGCCAGAGGTGACGCAGGAAGCGATTTGCTACCCCGTCTTAGCGACGGATTGAAACCTTCTGGTGGCAAGTCGCAGTCTTTTGTTTGAGCAGTGAAGCCGCGAATTGCTTTTCCAGCTACCATTTGATGAGCAACACGCACAACTGAAGAACCGCACATGGCCGCTTCTCCTTTGAAGCCATCATCCACACCACTGGATTTCGTTTTGGTGGCAGACGGAAACTGAACTTTCTGGGCCGTGGTTGTGTCTGGAAACGAACGTTTTTGCCATATGGAGAAGATTTCGAGCATCGAAAACGTGAGAATGACAATGAGATCAAAAGTAACAAGTTGTAACCAAGAAACAAACAAAATTACCACACGGTTTAAACAATGGTGTGCCCTAGTTGTTGGTGTCACTGAAAGGGTTAAGTATTGACTTCTAATTGTACTATTGTATTTACATGAGATAAAAACTAAAAAAAAAAAAAAACTACACTCGCCAGTTTTAATTACAATTATAACCGATGTAAGAATTATAAATTATTTTTGATACAAAATTTTAAAAATAATAGAAGTAGCATTAGTAACATTTAAACTTACATCAATATTGATTACGACCGCTGCGGATTGCGTTTACTTTTCAAATTAAATAGCATATTTAGAGCTACTGTAACCGCTTATGTCAACATTTCGATTACACTACGTCATTGTATGATAACGTTTGGTTTATTCAATTTTAAACAACTTACCAACTGAATTATTCAAAAACTTCTGACAATAGGGCGTATGTTTGGAAAAATCTGTTTTTTTCCCGTTTATTGCAGAAGCAAAAGGTTGTTGTGTTTCTGCCAAAGACGCCGAGATTGTTTGATTTGGCGGTTCACTGAAACCTCTTTTATTGCTACGATAATAATACATAAAACTATCATCTAGTTCAGTCGGAGAAAAAGCGCTCTGTTCGAAATCTAACCTAGAACATAAAAATAAAGTAACGTTATGAACTTAACATTTTAGTGGTTTACCTATCATTCATTTTAGTCTTCATCCATTGAGGAAGCGACATACCAGAGGACAAAGAGCGGTCTTCTTGAGTAGCCATGATTAAAATTATGGAATCGTAAAGTTATTACAATACAAATTTAGTAGTTTTGACTAAGATGTTGTAACATAATCAAAAAACCCAAACATATAATTAATCATTAAATACAGTGATATTACAGTACTATTAACTAAAGTTACAACTAAATTTGTACTTAAAATTTATAACGTCTCAGCCGACCCGCCTCTAAGAGTATGCCTTTGCCATTCTACTGAGCTGTAAACAAAAATAAAATCATATGAGGTGTTACGTCAGGCATTGTTGAATGCGCCAAACACTGTTTTTGGCACATGCTGGTGATTTAATTCATTTACACGCCAACAATAAAATTCGCGGTAAACGAAATCAAAGTGATTCGAAGCATACTTTTAATCAGCATTTATTTAACAATATCCTGGGATGTTGTCATCAAATTCTGGAAAATATACACAAATAAAAGTTTGCTAATGTTCTCTAATTACTAAAGCAGTATTAATCGGTCTCTCATCAAGAATTTTAAACAAACCCATTTTCTTAGATGCAATTATAAAATCTAATTCCCGTATATATGTACATAGTTTATATATTTTTATAATAATCTTTATTCGCTAAAAATGGGGGCGGTTTATTAAACCATACCTACAGAAACACGACATGCTGCAAAATTCAAATGAGATTTTCTTAATAAAATTTAAAACGTCTTGATCAATTTTTTGATGGCAATGAATATATCAATTTCAATATGTACAGTGTATCCACAACAATCGTGAGTGTTGAATGTGGGCAAAATTAAGACTTGTTCTTTGTACGTGAAAGTTATTTCGACAGAACTTCCCTCGCCCCTGAATTACAGTCCAACAAATCCCGTTTCTTTAAAAAATTATCATTTGATTTTATGAATTTTTTTTATAACTTCTCTAAGCTAATAAAAAATGAATGCATTATTAAACCACAACAATCGACTCAAAATGTTTTGTACATTTTAGATGGGATGTATCAGAGAAAATTTGGTTATTCCGTCAACCGCCTCGCCAATCTGGTAGGAAAGAAGCAAAGAGATAGTTTCATTACAATTTACCATGCTTACGATAACTTTAAAATGTTTGTGAGATTTCCAACTATTCCGTTTTCCAGTACCAAAGCTAAAATGTTAAATGTTGTTATACAATTTTGTTTTTTTCCCAAACATCTGGATCTCAAGGGTAAAAATTCAACAGATTTATAAATTACAAGTGTAGGAGTGTGTTGTTTTATAAAATTTCTATAACATTTATTCGGACAAATTGTAAGATGACGTCATCAATTTTCGGAGGAATTTGCATTAACGATTTACCATGAGTCCCATAACCTTAAAATGTTCGCAAGATTTGAAAACATTCGGTTTTACAATTTAAAAGTTAAATTGTAAAATGTATTTTTTTTCCTCTAAAAAGCTGAATGTCTAGATAAATCTCACCACAGATTTATAAAGCAGAGGTGCAGAGGTATATTATTTTATAAAATTTAATTTATTACTGTAAATTTTGGAGATAACCTCATCCCATTGTTGGTGGGGCTGATTGGACAAATTACACAACTGCAATTTTCATATTGGTATACCTCAAATAATCTAAATAAACAATACCTAGGCATAAAATAACATGTTTCAACTCACCTCACAATAAAAAAATACCTTGAAAAAATCCAGCAAGTACAGACTTTTTAAGAGTAAAAGGAGACGATAATTGGGTACATTTTTATCGTTTATTACGATTACTATCCACTGTTGCTGTCAAATTAAGTAACAAAACGAAACATACGACTGCTAAATAACGTTGCAATTATGCAATACAGTTGTTTGTTATTGATATCAAAGGATTTTTGTAAGTATTATTTTAGAACAAGCACACAAATAAACAAGACCTGAACTGACATTCGTTGCATCACCTTCTTGCAAAACCAAAAAATAATAACCACATATTTACTCCGGCAACTGTGTTCTTTTCTGCATCTGCCTTTGCAGCTATTACACACGTGTAAAGAAAAATTGAATTTATCAATTTACCTACACAATATCATAATTAAACTATACGGTTGCTATCTGTAAAACGATAGACATGTTCGTGATAGTCCGCTAACAAATGCACGTCCATGAGGCATAATTCTTAATTTTACAGGATAACAACGTTGTCACGATTTTTCCTTGGGAGAAATTGTAATAAACAAATGTTTTTCAGGTGAGAGTACGTACCTTTGTTTTTCTACTGATTAAATGGGGGTTTATAGAACAGAACAAACACATCGTTATCTGCCAATTACGAACAAATATGGAGTATCTGGACTCACTGACGACAACACCGTTCCCAACCTCGGAAGAAAACGGAACTCGACAGACAGAATGACAGCATACACTGCGCAAAATCGATTTGCGCACACGATTTTATTTGAAAAAGGAGGTCCGTTGATGCTGCGACACAGTATAGACAGAGAACATAGAGAAGCGCCATAGTTTAAATAAAATGACGGTTGAGGCACAGACTATACCGACAAGCCACTCCCCCACCACTGACAAACGAATATATACAGTAGCGGTCATTTCTACGGAACCACTCGATAAAAAGTCAAGTTGGTAGCCCTGTCATCTAGTACTTTACGCCGAACGCGGTTGGTAGCGGTAGTTGACATGGCAATCGAAACTAGTACAACACGAATGTTTCGGTTGCCCTCAGCTATGCCGTACTGTATCCCCTGCAGACTGTATGTTCTGTTCATCTATTTATTAAAATAAAATATCTACATTGACAATGGGGCCATCTAACCTGTCAAATTTTTGACACATATGTTTTCCCCCAGAAACCCGTCAAGGTCACTTACACCAAACAAATTTTGAAAATTTACACTAGGGAGTGGTTCTATAGAAAAGATCGCGACATTATAGTCTTTAATTCAAGAGTCCAAACAGTCGATTTCAATTATTTTGCCCTTGAACACAGGAAAATGACGGTTTAGGTAAGAATGACCTTGATTCCGCTTAAAAATTTGCAAAATACTGTAGTGGCTACCCTGTTTAGTGGAAACTTTTAGGAGAATGTAACTAGAAAAACTAGAATTTTGACACTTCGGGTCAGAGTTATTGAATATAAGTAAAGATTGTCCAGAATTATATGAATTTTATGGACTCCCAAAGTTAATTTGTTTTACAGCCCTGTTGTCAGTTTTATTGTTTAACTGAAGAGCGGGGCGAACTCAGGTACAGAAAAGATCGGCTTTCCCCTGACAGGCTCCTTACCTGTACAATAGAATTGACGCCTGAGCTGTGAAACAAATTAACGTTGGGAGTCCATAAAATTCTTATAATTCTGGACAAACTTTACATATATACATTTAAACCTCCTTGCTTTGGGTTGACAACATAACCACATATAACCTCAAAATCGGTCCGACCAAGACGTGTGAAGTACAACGCACTCCTGTGAGTCCTGTGGCGACAGAATACACAATACAATACAATATAATCATTCACTCACTTTTAAAAAATGTATAAATTTAATAGCACTCATAAATTTTTTAGCTTGTTCATGTTTTTTTTTACTATGAACGTACGTACGAACGCCTTTATTATTTTAGTAGGTTAAACATAATTAATATGACTTCTGTTGATGTATTTTTTTAACATTATGTTGGTTTTTATCCGAGATTGTGTTGTAAAGTGGCAGTCCTCGCGTTTAAAAATCGCGCGTATGAAGTGACGGTTGAGGTAAGTCGTCAATAAGGGTCACGTTCGCTCAAAGTGGGTATGTGTCTTGTCTGTGTAGTCTGTGGTTGAGGACTTCTCAATTTATGTTGGTAGCAGTGTTTGTTTGTAACTAGGAATAAAAGTAACAAAAAGAAATGTCATAATATTTTTAACGACGCGTTTTATTTTCGACAAATTGACACTAGATTTACCAGAATATTACAAGCTGCTTACTGTTTCCATCACTTTCATTTAGGTCACACGAATTACAATTATAGTGAAGCAAGGTTTTAATTGGCATCGACTATTTAAATTTGGCGCTGATCTATACGTATTTAATCAATGCCCAAGCAGTGATGACCCGAGTATAAAAATCGTTCCGCCAGTTACCGTAGGGGCCACGGGGGGGCGCAGGCGACGCAGGGCCTATATTATTGACTGTTCTATGGCCAAAACCACCATCTAAATGCATCTAAATGTCAAATGTCAATATAGATAATTCATATACCAATGTATTTTTTAGTAATGTAATCATAACCTAGTACTTATCCATCTACCTGTGTTTTTTAATCTCTAATAAAAAACAAAAAGAAAATTCACAAATGTCGGAAAAACCATCTACATCCAGAGAACGAATTATTCCTATAGAAATGGAAGGCGATGAAAATCGTGTCGAAGGCATCAAAGAAGCAGAAATGGGTTCTGGAGAACCATCTACATCAAAATCACGTAAAGAGCGAATAGTCCCAATTCAAATAGAAGCTGAGGATTCGTCTGATGAAAATAAAGCGAAGGAAGCAGCAACTAACTTGGATACCAATGATCCAGAGGAGAAAACCAAACCGACGAATTTAAAAAGTAATGCTCTACCAAAGGTCAATGTAAAGGAAAAGATTATACTGGTTGTGGATAGTGCAGAAGATGAAAAGTTCACACCCTTTTGGCAGATTAACGGACAAGAGCGCAAACCGTTTGACATGCTGAAATACGCAGTAGCAGTGTTTTTAAATCATAAACACTCAATGGACAAGAAACATGAATATGCTGTGGCAATCCTCACTGCAAATAACGTTAGTTGGGTAGTGGATTTCACCAACAAAATAGATGAAATTATAAGTAAATTGGAAGAAATTAAGAGCTGTCAAACTGAAGACATTTTCCAGTTAAATTCACTCTTTGAGTTAATTTGTCAAAAAGTACAAGTGCCTCGTTTGTGCAAAATGGAAGACATAATTTTTCCACCTCCTTACATAGTGCGTACTGTTTTGCTTTATGGCCGTTCATACACAATGCCAACGCTTCTTGAAAATAAAGAAATTCAAGAATTGTTAAAATCACCTTACTTTATTTTGGATGTTTTGATGACCCATGAAACTATAGATGAGGATAACAACTGTAATAAAATATTTAATGTTTTGCAAAACTTGGATGTAAAAGGTTACTCTTATTTCCTATCTGTTGGACGAGACGCTAAGACTTTACTGTATTCAATGGGGAAGCTATTAGGGCATCCACTCCAGAGACCAAGACAAGAATTAGCTAATTATGCAATCCAACCTAAGTAAAATTTAAGTGTTTATTTTTGTTTGGGAAGTATTTGTTATATTCTTTTATTTCATTTTTTCATTTTTCCATTATTTACACACCTGTTTTGGATGCCATCATGAAGAAGGTGCAAGATCTTTTTTCCTTGTAGGTAAATTACAGAATAATTAATTCCAAAAATTTAGTGTATTTATTTCTTATTTGTATTGTTTACATTACATTTATATAATGTGTATTATTTTACTTTCCTTGATTCTTTCCTCTAGTGCACATTGAATATGTACCTCCTGAATAAAGAAATTTGTAATCATACCCGCGAGTGCAGTCACATATGTATGGACACATATATGTATACATGTGTATTTTATTAGTAGCCGTTTTGGGTGACTTTTCTTGATATAGGTACCTACATACTTGCCTTGTGAACAGAAAATCTGTTCAGTCGATTTTCATTGTGTTTGTAGCAGAAAAAAATGTTGGTGTATAATTATTTGGTGAAAAATTACAGTAAATTTTATGGGATGTTCAACGGTTTGATTCCTCAATAAATAAAAAAATTTAAATTTTTTAGAAAATTGTTACAGTTATAGCAGAGAAAAAATCTGATCTAATGTTCCCCAACGAAGGCAATGAATTTTTAAATATCTACTAAATAAGATAGCTACAGGCTTTTTTGAACTTTATTAAGATATCAAATCTAAGAAATTGAAAAAAATTCGCTGTAGAATCTGAATGCGAATTAATAACGAAGAGTCAAAAATTAATCCCTGAAACTTTGGCGAATCCAGTAATTTTTTGAAATTGCTACCTGAACTCCAAGGTGTTTAATGAGCATTAAATGCATGTATGACTATGAAAAATGGTAAAACGGTTAAACAGGGCTAGTGTTTTTAGCAGCATTCGTGATTAAAAAACCACGTACTCAAAGTACGTATGTACCTATATCAAGAAATAAAACTTACCATTCGACTGATAAATACATATCATGGCAGAACGTTTGCTACTTTACGTTGAAAATTCCTGTCGAATATATTTTTTTTGGGAGAAAAAAAAACACAATTTTTTCATACATTTTTATATCGTTATGCAACTGGTTAATTTTTTGATAGTTAAAAATTAATTTTGAAATTTGTATTACAACACTATGCGCAACGTTACTGGATCTAATAGAATTTGAGTCTTCTGAGAAACTCATCACTGAACGCCATACTTATTTATTGACACCGGGCGAAAGTTTAAAACAATGCTTTATTATAATTAAAAAAAAAATGTTTAAAGACAACTTCAAGTAAGGGCTGTGTATATAACTGTATGTGCATATATGGCATGACGTATTTATTACAGCAATTGGAATGGCGAGTGGTCCCTTGCCGTGCTCCCTTGCTATGTGCGAAAATTGGATTTTGAAATTTCCAAATTGAACCGATTACGTAACAAATTTCTTCGAAATTTTTGAGACGATTTATGTGGTAAAAAATTAATCAGTAGTTATATATCAAGTCCCACTAGAAAACAATTAGAGCAGCTTAAAAAATCATAAAATTATTAATTTTCTGACGTACCAAGAAAAAAGTTACAAGCGAGGTTACAAAGTGTTAAAAACCAAATTCCTGAACATCTAAAACTTCTCTATGCCATACTTACCTACTAATAGGCCATAATGCCTAACACTATTGTTTAAGTAATTATAAGTATACACAGTATTATAATATGTATAGTACTGTGTAGTCTCCAATATCATTATATTATTGTATTTGAACTTCGCGTCCATTTTTATTGGAATGTTATATGTATAATTCAAAATGGTGCATCATTTACCAGTTTAAAGCAAAATTATTTAAAATCATGGAGGTAGGATAGTTATTTCATTCTACCTCCATCATATTTAAAACGCATTAATCCATTTTTATTTTTGTGCCAAGGCTACAATTAAATACAATTGTGAAATTAAATAAAAATAAATAACATGAATTGAGCGAACGTAAGATTTTAATTTGTAATAGTAAATTATTACGATATTTGGAGCAAATATCGAGAATTCAACACTATCAAAAAATTCAAATATTTTCGCGCCGCACAAACCCAAATGTTGCTGTCCATCAACATCCGCTACATCCGCGTCTTCAAGCAGACCTCGCATGAATAACCCCCGTCGAGTATTTTCTCATAATTATACATCTCTTGAACATCGTTTAAACTCTGTGCAAACGTTTCTACCACCCCACAGCCCCCACAGATAACCCAAAGTGCCAACATTCAAGCCTCAACTGCATTTAACCTCAAAAAATCCTTTACTCTGATTGGTTGGTAAATCTCCCGCCACCGCATCCATTGTGTTATTGTAGGTACCCCTCTAGCGGAGCATTGAAATGCCATGAACGCTGTGGCGGCTAATCGATGAGTTCTTGTCTTGTCCGCTGTCTTTGCGTTGTCGTTTGAAAGCTCAAAGCTGAAGCGGTGTTAGTGCAAGGTTACGTTGTATGAAAACAGCCCAGCGCTGGTCGATTTTGCTTCGTGTATACCAGGATAAAACCATTTCGGGATGGAAAAGCGTATAGATTTGGAAAAACGAGGAAGAAATCCGGCAGACGTAAGTATTCCCGTACCGAGGTGTCGTCAGCGGCTTTATACATGTGCTAACATGCCCATCGTAGTCCCATTCGCAAGAAAACAGGATTTAATGCATTTGTACATGGTTTGTTGTCCTTTATAACGCGTTCCCTCTGTTGGCGCTTCTTTGCGTCGTTTGTTTCTTTGTCGTCGCTAGTTTCGAATCCCAAGCGTCCCGAAATTGAGGTTTCACTAACGAAAGTTTTACCCGCAGATCAAAGAATTGAATTTGGACAATTGCCGGAGTACCAGCATCATAGGGCTCACAGATGAGTTTTGCAATCTGGAGAGTTTATCACTCATCAATGTAGGTCTAACGTCCCTCAAAGGATTCCCCAAACTTCCAAATTTGAAGAAATTAGAATTAAGTGACAACAGGTAGTGGTATTGCTAAAACATGTTCCAGAAGAAGAAATCAATTTTGATTCCAGGATAAACAATGGTCTTAATTTGTTGGAGACAAGCCCCAAGTTAACACATCTTAACTTAAGTGGGAATAAAATTAAGGATTTGACCACACTGGAACCTTTAAAAAACTTCAAGAATCTTAAAAATCTTGATCTCTTTAATAATGAAGCTACTACTGTTGAAAACTACAGGGAGAAAATTTTTAAAATGATCCCAAGCCTTAAATATCTTGATGGGTAAGATTAGTTTATGGCTTCCTAACAAAAAATTAATTCAAAATGGGTTTAAAATTTTGAAGTGTTCATCATAGTCCCTTACTGGTTCTTGCAAGTGTGAGAAGCAAAATCTATTGTTTATTTTGTTGTTTTTGTCATTTGTGTTCTGATTGTTCTTACGATTCTAATTTGTTTGATTTTATGTAAAGTGTTAAACGTAGAGTCCACTCTTTTATATTCTCATATCAGCAGGTGGAAAATGTTGTATTCTCAAGTCGTTGCCTTCAGTTGTTACAATCTAGTGTGGAGGGTTTAGCATTTGTCAAGTTTTTTACATTAAATCGGTGTACAGTATATTTTATTCATTCATTTAAATTATCAGATTTAATTAAAAAAAAAACCTTGACAATTTTCAGTCACAAAATACTTCAGCTTTTTTCCATGTTGTGTGCCCTGACCTAAACAGTTGCAAGTTGTAATGTGCTATGAATGAATGAATTAAATTTTATTGCCCATTTTAACTGCTTTGTTTATCTGCCCTTGCTGGATCTTAAAAATGGTAAAACAATTAATCTTCGCCAACATATTCAAGCCCTACGTTATGTGTACAGTTAACAAAAATTTCACAATGTCATGGACAACCCCGTTGTTGGTTTTGAATTTGATTTACCACTCCATTTCTGTATTAAATTAAAGTTTTCAATGTATAACACAAGATATTTATTTACAAAAACCGTTGCACTGTAATATCAAAATTTAATCCGAAAGCAACTGTAGGGTCATGCATATATTTCTATCGAAATTTTCACTTTTCTAAAAAGAAAGGTAAAACCCAAGTTAACATTTTTCGAAATTTATTTAAGATTATTTCAACTCGCAAAACCACTTTTTAACAAGAATGTTTGAAACATTGCAGTAATTTTGTTTTTTCTTAGAATATTTTCAGATTAGCAACAAAGTAATGTTATAAATGTTAATAAAATGTTCAGGGAGAAATATTAATTTTACACATTAGTCACACAAATTAGATTTTTTATGGCTTGCTATTACAATACTTTAGTATTTGAGAAAAACAAATAATGTACACATATCTGGGACTGAATTTTTAAATAAATTCTTGTTTGATGCATTAAATTTAAATTTTTAAATAATGTCCTCTTAATGCAATTTATGACTCAGAAGTTTAGCCAAACTTCTTTCTGGGTATAGTCCTGTCTCTTCTGTTTTGATGAGATCTGCCTACGACTGAAAGTTTTGAATCACTTTAGTATATAATATTTTCTATAGATTTGATGCAGAAGACTGTGAAGCAGAGGATAGTGATGCTGAAGAAGAAGTCAATGGCAATGATGACGAGTCTGAGGAGGAGGGAAGTTCTGAGGACGATGATGAGTTAGAGGACAGTGTTGGATTAGGTGCTGTTTATTCAGAAAATTTAGATGAACTTTCTGACGAGGGTGACTATGAAGCTGGTGAGGAAGAGGAGGAAGAGGATGGAATTGAAGAAGAGGAAGAGGAAGAGGCTGGTGAAGAAGAAACACAATCACCTGATGGTGAGTATTGTTATTTCAAATGTTATAATTTTTACCATATGTGTTTACAGTTTCAAGGGGTAAAAAGAGAAAATTAGAGGATGGTGAGGGAAATTAAAATGTGTTTTAAGTAGTGATATGAACTAAAAATTGACCAATGATTGTGTCTCCATTTTGCGAGAAGAGACGTCACCCCTGGCTGTGGTATCATACTTTACAAAAAATCAGATTACTGATACGTCTATAATAATTTACTAAATTGATATTCTAAATTTCCAAAAATTGAAAATGTAGTAGTTTTATTATAGTTGTAAAGTATTTCCTTGTAGCAGCCAGTTGTTGTTAATGTAAGTCAATGATGGAAATATATTTTGTACAGGAACACTTGTTCCAATATAGATTATATGTATTAGTAGTTTAGTACGTTTACATAGCTAAGTTATTGGTTTTTTATCTTTTGTTATTTTTTTAACGTGGTAGTTCAATAAACTTCATTTAGTTTGGAAACGTTGCTGTAGACAGTTGTTACTTTTTCAAACATTTAATGCACTCGTCAAATAAGAAGAACACATAAGTGAAGTTTATTGTTAATATTAAGCTATGTTGACGTCATTTTGTTAATGGTATTACAGCTAGGAGTCATAATAGACATAAAACATGAATATATACAGTACAAAATTTTTAACATTTTATACATTTTAGTATTAATCTGCGAAAGAAATTTTAATATTGTCTGTTATGAAGCCTTCTGTATCAAATTTAACTTATATATAGATATGAATATCAAAACTATATTTCTAATTGGGGAATTTCTTAAGCATTAACAAAAATGAATTTTTTAGTAAATATAGTATATTCCTTATTTTTTTCCACTAGTACTGCGCTGTGTCTACATGCGGTCATAAAAAATAACATGTGTAAAAATTAACAAATAATTTTGTTAAGAAAGATGCAATGGATTTAATTAAATTTGCTAGTGGAAACAAAATAGGCATTTTTTTTTGTAACTAGATGAACATCACAAAACAATGCTCAACAATTCCTTAATTATTGGTATTTTGTTGTTACTTATTAAATCTATTCTCAGATTTTAAAATATAGATCTTTCAATGAATTAGTGGAATATGCTATATCTTGTGTAATGGATAATCTCTTGTAATTTCAGTTAAATACACAGTTTTAGTATAATTGTTTTTTTTTTTTTAACACGAAAACCGTCAGGGCTAAGTAGTGAACAAAAAATATATTTCAAGTCAGTGGCAATTTCACCTTTGCTGTTAAACATCTGCAAAAATATTACTTTTTACGTGTTCTATAGTCAGTTAAATATTATTTTTTACCAGTGGAATGAAAGTGGAAGTGGATACACAGTTGTTGCAGTTATTCTTCTATTCACCGACTGTTAATGTGGGCGTGGCCGCACCACTACATGTGGGGACGTGGAATGTCATTTAAGACGCTGCAATTTCAGTTGTCTCTCGTCTGTGTACACGTTTCAAAGTCTGCTGTGAGTGTTATAGACCCACCAACTTGGATGTTAGATGACTTCAGAGTTTATGAATTATTTAAGTGCTGTTTTTAAATTGACAGAAACCCTGTGTGGCGTTGCTGTGATGTTAATGTAGGCAACACAACGCACACGTACTACTTCCTCTCGCCTACGAGTAGGCAACTCAATATGCTCACCGAACACCACTCGTGATTGGTTAGCCTGGCGCCGACGCAGAGACCAACTGGGGACACAAGGAGGCGCGAGTACGGCAAGTACTCTCTTCTGCCGCCGACATCGAAACGAAGAAGATGGGTACCGTCTCCTGTTCCACGTGTAAGATATCCGTTTGTAAATAAACTATAGAGAAACCCTACCTGGTGTTAGTCATTTCCACATTGGTGACCCCGGAAAGAAAATAGGAAGAGCTAGCACCATGGAAGAAATGCAAAAGAAACTGCAGGAACAACAAGAAATAATTTGCCAGTTCCAGACACAACTGGCTACCATCTCCAACAAACAAGCCCTTGATGAGGTAAGAAGTGGTTCAAATCTGAAGCTACCGACATTCTGGCAGCGAGACCCGGTGCTTTGGTTTGCACAAGTCGAAGCCCAATTTAATTGCGCGAGAATCAGGTCCGACCAGACCAAGTACTGGACCGTGGTAACCGCCTTAGACTGCGCGACGCTCCAGCCGGTTGCCGATTTGGTCGCCAACCCCCCAACAGAAGAGACAAAGTACGAAAGCATAAAATCCAGATTGATCGCCGCCTATGCAGACACCCCCGAAAAACGACTACGGAAGCTCATGTACGAAATAGAGTTAGAGGACAAGCAGCCGTCACAACTACTAAGAGAAATGGAAGCCCTAGCGGGTAAGGGGATCAGCGGTGACGTCCTCAAGACTCTGTGGTTGCAGCGTTTACCCCCACAACTACAGATGATCCTCGCCGCAAATGATAAAGAAACGCTGGACAAAATGGCGACCATAGCGGACAAATTGACCGAAATCCACCATACCAGCGCCATCACAGCAAATATTGGTGCCCTAAATCGCGGTACCTCCGCGCACGCCTCTCAAACCGTTACATCGGCGCAAGAAGATGGAATGGCTGCCGCCATTACGGCACTGCAGAAGCAGTTCGTAACTTTATCGACCACAGTAAACCAACTCGCAGACGACAGAAGGCGCCATGGGCAAGGCGAAAACTGGAATCGCGCCAAATTTAGGTCAAGGTCGAATCCGCAGGACGATAATATCTGCTATTATCACAATCGGTTCGGAGCAAACGCCAGAAGATGCGCCAAACCCTGTGACTACAAAAGGCCGTTAAACTAGAGGCGCCGTCGACGATTGAGGTGGTCCACGACGCAGCGCAAACACAACGCCTCTTCATCACCGACCCAAAATCAGGTACCCGATATTTAATCGACACGGGGGCAGAAGTTTCCGTGTTACCCAAGAGATTGTTCTCAGGCAGACAACATCTCAGCCCAGCTGAGACAACGCTCTTCGCGGCCAACGACAGCGCGATCAGAACATACGGCCAAAAGCTAATGTTCCTTGATCTCAAGCTGAAACGTCCGTTCAAGTGGGTATTTATAGTGGCAGACGTAGGCAAACCCATCATCGGAGCAGACTTCCTGAGGCATCACAATCTCCTACCTGATCTCCGCAACCGACGCCTCGTAGACGCAGCCACCCTCTTATCAACTCGCGGAACCCTGGCTATATGCAAGTCGCCTCAGATCACGACAGTGGCCAAGACGACGCCATATCACGCACTGCTAGCGGATTTCGCAGAAATTACACGCCCACCGCCACCTGGAACGAAGCACAGGGGCAACGTGTTCCACCACATCATCACCAGAGGTCCCCCGGTCGCAGAAGCTCCTCGCAGGCTTGCACCCGAGAAGTTGAGAGTGGCGAAAGCCGAATTCCAATATATGATGGAACAGGGCTGGTGCCGACCATCCAAGAGCCCTTGGGCTAGTCCGCTTCACCTTGTCCCAAAGAAACTCCCTGGTGAATGGCGTCCATGTGGCGACTATAGGCGCCTAAACAACGTGACAGTGCCTGACAGCTACCCCATCCCTCATATACAGGACTTCACCTACAGACTCGAAGGTAAAAGTGTGTTCTCCACCATAGACCTAGTGCGCGCATACCATCAAATTCCCGTGGCTGAAGAAGACGTCCCTAAAACAGCCGTGTGCACTCCGTTCGGGCTCTTCGAGTTTACAGTTATGACGTTCGGACTACGTAATGCCGCACAGACTTTCCAAAGACACCTGAACTCTCTAATAAGTGACCTTGATTTCTGCTACGTGTATATAGACGACATCTTAGTGTTCTCCCGAGATGAAGCAGAGCACGTCGAACATCTAAAAATGTTATTTTCTAGGTTACGGGAGCATCACATAGTGATTAACCCGACCAAGTGCGTGTTTGGTGAAGCCGAAGTGAAATATTTAGGACATACGATTTCCGGGAGTGGAACCAAACCACTTGAGACGTCGGTCAGTGCAATCCGCGAATTCCCCAAACCAAAGACAGTTCAAGATCTGCGACGGTTCCTTGGCATGATCAACTTCTACCGACGTTTCATTCCCCACGCAGCCCAGACCCAAACACCACTTCACCAATATCTGAACAACGCGCGGAAGAATGACAAAACAATAGTCGAGTGGACAGAAGAAGCTGAAGCCGCTTTTGAAACGTGCAAGACAGAGTTAGCCAACGCCGCGCTTCTGGCACATCCCGCCGAAAATCTGCCGCTCAGAATTATCACCGATGCTTCTGATTACGCAATCGGGGGCGTACTAGAGCAGCACTCCAATGGGACCTGGCAACCTTTAGGTTTCTTCTCCAGAAAACTTAGCAAGGAGCAGCGCAACTACAGCGCATACGATCGTGAGCTGCTTGCAGTTTACGAAACCATAAAATTCTTCAGGCACATGGTGGAAGGCAGAGACTTTTGCATACTCACCGACCACAAACCCCTCATCTACGCGTTTCAGCAGAAAGCAGGCAAAGCATCCCCAAGACAAGTCAGGCAGCTAGATTTCATCGGCCAGTTTTCCACCAACATTATCCACATTTCAGGAGAACAAAACACAGTTGCAGACACACTTTCAAGGGTCAATGAAATCACAACTCCTACGTTCATTGACACCGACGACTTAGCCAAGGAACAAGAAAAAGACGCCGAACTAAAAGCACTTTTAAACTCTGATACAACAAGCCTGCGGTTAGAAAAACTCACCCCACAGGCCGGCCAGAAAGCTATCTGGTGTGACACGTCAACGGGGGTGGTTAGACCATACGTTCCACAAGATTCGAGAAAAGTAATTTTTGAAGGATTTCACAACCTCTCACACCCCAGCGGCCGAGCGACCAGTAAGCTCATCAAGAAGCGATTTGTGTGGCCATTTATGGAGAGTCACATAATGAAGTGGGCACGAAGCTGCATCCCTTGCCAGCGATCCAAAGTTGGCCGACACACCAAAGCCCCATTACAGCATTTCGATGACGTCACAGAACGGTTCCAACATGTGCACATCGATATAGTAGGTCCGCTACCTCCCTCTCAAAGCTACAGGTATTGCCTCACTATGTCTGACCGTTTCACCAGGTGGCCAGAGATCGCACCCATGACCGACATGACCGCAGAGACAGTCGCCAAGACATTCTACGAAACATGGATTTCAAGATTCGGTTGCCCAAGACAAATTACAACCGACCAAGGGCGACAATTTGAAGCATCCACCATGAATGCCTTGGCGAAAATTTTGGGCATTCAGCGCTCTCGGACGACGCCATATAGGCCCCAGAGCAACGGCCTTATCGAGAGATGGCATCGAACCATGAAGGCAGCCATCATGTGCCATGAAGCAGAAAGTTGGCTAGACGTTCTACCTACAGTATTATTAGGGTTACGTACAGCCATCAAAGAAGACATCGGTCACTCACCAGCAGAGCTGACCTACGGAACGCAACTGAAAGTCCCAGGCGAATTCTTTTTCAGCAATATCGACAGATCCGTAGAACCCACTACCTTTGTAGAAAAACTACGGGACCACATGAGGAAACTTCGCCCAACTCCAGCGTCGCACCACATTAGGCAAAGCACCTTCGTCCACACAGAGCTCAGTAAATGTAGCCATGTTTTCCTAAGAGACGACACCGTGCGAAGACCGCTCCAACAGCCCTACACCGGTCCACACCTTGTTCTGTCTCGTACTGCTAAGACAATAAAGGTCAATGTAGGCGGTAGGGAAACAACAGTGAATATCGACAGAGTAAAACCCGCTTTTATTCTCCAAGAACCAGAACCACCACCGGCTCCATCCCCAGTACGAACACAGGAAGTTACTCAAACCACCAGGTCAGGCCGCAGGTCAACGCTCCCCGCACGTTTCAGAGAATGACAACTGACAGCCGTTTTGACAGCTGTCACCCGTTACTTGGGGGGGGGTATGTGGCGTTGCTGTGATGTTAATGTAGGCAACACAACGCACACGTACTACTTCCTCTCGCCTACGAGTAGGCAACTCAATATGCTCACCGAACACCACTCGTGATTGGTTAGCCTGGCGCCGACGCAGAGACCAACTGGGGACACAAGGAGGCGCGAGTACGGCAAGTACTCTCTTCTGCCGCCGACATCGAAACGAAGAAGATGGGTACCGTCTCCTGTTCCACGTGTAAGATATCCGTTTGTAAATAAACTATAGAGAAACCCTACCTGGTGTTAGTCATTTCCACACCTGCTTAGATACATACGTTTTCTAAAATTGTGTCCTACAAGTCTTATTAAACAGGTTTCTGTACAACGTATGAAAAAAAAAAACAATTATTAGCATTGAACTTTACTTCCTAATCACTGTGGTGCAGAAGGTCGGTGCAAATAGCTTTGCAAATTTGTATACATCAATATTATTTTTACTTTTGGAGAATAAGCTAAAGAAGCACTTTGAATGCGATCAATGTTTTCTAGAAGTTTCACATCTTGTTGACGACGGCGTCTGTCTTATTCTGTTTACGTCTGTCAATCCTCGTCAATCTGCTGGCCTATGATGCTGCTGGCGATTTTAAAAAACCCGGAGATGGTTGTAGACCAATAATCTCCGAAAGTATTGGACTGATTACTGTGAAGGTGTGAAGTTTTCAGTGTACTTTGAGATTATCGTGCAGATGGAAAAACAATAACTAAAATTTGTTTGTTCATTCACATTTGATTACGTCATCTCAAAATTTCACTTAGTATATTTCGCATGAAATCAATATTGTGGCATGCTCCTTTATTTGTTGGTATACGGATTAACATAAAAAAATTTGCCTAAAGTTATTTAGACAGAACTTCCCTTGCCTCTGAAGTATATGCATTGGACTTACCAGTCCGTCGCACCGAGCTTATCTTTTACGCGTTGAGTGTGGCAAAACGTATTTTTACTTCCGTCGGCCGACTCTCTACTTTTACGTTTTCTCGACCTTTCATGACCCCTACAAGACGAAGAAATAGGTCTCCCGTTTCCGTTTGTCCATCTGTCTGTCCGTCTGTCTGGATTTTTATTAGACAGATAATCTCCGAAAGTACTGGGCCGTTTGTTGTCAAATTGTGTATTTATATTAAGAATATCATGTAGATAGTAAAACGCTAACCAAAATTTGTCTAATCATCCCCACCACTAATGCGATGACGTCACTTTAAAATTGTCCATAGCAAATGGGTTTTAAATTGTGTAAAGGTAACATACTCGTAGTCCTAAAGATGTAGTTTATGACTCCGAATAGAGTTTTTACCCGAAACGTCCAGATTTTTGGAAAAAAAAATCAAAATTATAAAATAACATTTTGCAATTTAATTTTGAATCTGTTAAAGCGAATGCTTTGAAATCTTGCATATGTTTTAAGGTTATAAAGAGCATAATAAATTTTTAGTCAAAATATATTTGTTTATCCTCTCCAAAAAATTGATGACGTCAGCTCAAAAGTTTGCCGAATAAATCCTATCTAAAATGTACAAAATATGATAAGTCTGTACTTGTGATATATCACTCCATTCGTATTTTTAGGATTTGCATATACAGGGTGACTCAAAAAAATTGGTCTAAAGAGTTCAGACAGTACTTCCCTCGCTGTCGGAAACTTGACGACTGCATGGCTATTGTGTTTTTTTCTCATTACATTTTTGTAGTGGGAATTTTAAAAAAATGCGATGACGTCATCAACATTTTTGCAAGGACACGTATATCAGTTGGGATAGATGTAGTGTAATACTAAGAATAAAATTATTGTACTCCCAAATTTTCGGGAAAATGAATTGGGTCGTTTTGAATATTGATTTTTTATAATCAAGAAAATAACGAAACAATTTACTCATGTATACGGCAACTGAAAATCGTTTATGTATAAACATTTTTAATTTAAGATGACAAGCGTAACAGCATACGTGAGAGTCAAACAGAGAAACTGTAAACAAAACGACCATCGGTTTTATTGCTTCGACTTCCGCTTATTATATAAAACATTGGGTTTTATTTTAATTCTGGACGGTGAAATTCACAATTGGTTGATTATAAACATGTCTATTTCACATTCGCGGAACCAAGTGAACGCATAAAACAAATGCACGTCTGTAATGTTAAAGTCGATGTAAATAAGCGTGCTACCCTTATGTTTCAACCGAGTTTTTCCTTTAACAAATTTTGTGTCTACCAAATTGGGTTGGTTGAGGTGTAATACTAATAATAAGTGTTGCCTTTAATTTAATCAATAAAATAAATTGACTTCATTAATTTTTTTGAACCACCTCTTAAGAAAATCTAAAAAATATGAATGGAATGATAAATCACAAGTACAAACTCATCATATTTTTTGCATTTTAGATAGGATTTATTCAGCAAAATTTAAGGGTGACGTCATCAATTTTTTTAGGAGGGATGAACAAATACATTTTGAACAAAAGTTTACCATGCTTATGATAATTTTAAAATATCTGCAAGATTTCGAAGCATTCGGTTTTGTAGTTCCTGAGTAAATCAGTAAAATAAATTTACGCTTTCATTTATTTTCTTGAATCACCCTGTATATGCAAATCCAAAAAATATGAATGGAGTGATAGATCACAAGTACAGACTGATCATATTTTGTACATTTTAGATATGATTTATTCGGCAAATTTTCGAGCTGACGTCATCAAGTTTTTGGAGGGGATAAGCAAATATACTTTGACTAAACATTTATTATGCTCTTTATAACCTTAAAACATCTGCAAGATGTCAGAGCATTCGTTTTGTAGTTCCTGATTAAATCAATAAAATATATTTACGCATTCATTAATTTTTTTGAGTCACTCTGTATATGTAAATCCAAAAAATATGAATGGAGTGATAAATGACAAGTACAGACTCATCATATTTTGTACATTTTAGATATGATTTATTCGGCAAACTTTCGAGCTGACGTCATCAAGTTTTTGGAGGGGATAAGCAAATATATTTTGACTAAACATTTATTATGCTCTTTATAACCTTAAAACATCTGCAACATTTCAAAGCATTCTGGTTAGCAGATTAAAAATTAAATTTCAAAATGTTGTTTTATAATTTTGATTTTTTTTCCAAAAATCTGGACGTTTCGGGTGAAAAGTCGATTCAGAGTTGTAAACTACATGTGTAGGACTATGTTATTTTATACAATTGAAAACCCATTTACTATGTACAATTTTGAAGTGACGTCATCGCATTAGTGGTGGTGATGATTAGACAAATTTTGGTTAGCGTTTTACCATCTACATGTACATGATATTCTTAATATAAGTACAAAATTTCACAACAATCGGTCGAGTACTTTCGGAGATTATCTGTCTAATAAAAATCCGGGACGGCAGACGGACAGACGGACAGACGGACGGACAGACGGACGGACAGACGGACAGACGCACAGACGGACAGACAGACGGAAATGGGAGACCTATTTCTTCGTCTTCTAGGGGTCATGAAAGATCGAGAAAACGTAAAAGTAGAGAGTCGGCCGACGGACTCGATTACAATACTTCCTTTGCTTACGCTCGGGAAGTAAAAATTAATGAATGTGCAAAATTTATTTTACTGATTTACTCAGGAACTACAAAACCGAATGCTTTGAAATCTTGAAGATGTTTTAAAATTATCATAAGCATGGTAAATTTTTGATCAAAATGTATTTGGTCGTCTCTCCTAAAAAATTTATGACGTCACCACAAAATTTTGCTGAATAAATCCTATCTAAAATGTACAAAATATGGTGAGTCTCTTCTTGTGATTTATCATTCCATTCAAATTTTTTCGATTTGCATATACAGGGTGACTGAAAAAAATTAATGAATGCGTCAATTTATTTTATTGATTTAATCAGGATTTACAGAACCGAATGCTTTGAAATCTTGGAGATGTTTTAAAGTTATTATAAGCATGGTAAATTTTTTATCAAAATGTATTTGCTCATCCCCCCTAAAAAATTGATGACGTCACCCCAAACTTTTGCTGAATAAATCCTATCTAAAATGTACAAAATATGATGAGTCTGTACTTGTGATTTATCATTCCATTCATATTTTTGGATTTGCATATGCAGGATGACTCAAAAAAAAAAATGAATGCGTGAATTTATTTTATCGATTTAATCAGGAATTACGGAATCGAATGCTGTGAAATCTTAGAGATATTTTAAAGTTATTATAAGCATAGTAAACTTTTGTTCAAAATGTATTTGTTCATCCCTCCTAAAAAAATTGATAACGTCACCCTTAAATTTTGCTGAATAAATCCCATCTAAAATGTACAAAATATGATGAGTCTCTTCTTGTGATTTGTCATTCCATTCAAATTTGTCCGATTTGCATATACAGGGTAACTCAAAAAATTTAATGAATGCGTGAATTTATTTTATTGAGTTAATCAGGAACTACAAAACCGAATGCTTTGAAATCTTGCAGATGTTTTCAGGTTATAAAAAGCATAATAAATGTTTAGTCATATTATATTTCCTTATCCCCTCCAAAAAATTGATGACGTCAGCTCGAAAATTTGCCAAATAAATCCTATCTAAACTGTACAAAATATCGTGAGTCTGTACTTGTGATTTATTACTCCATTCATATTTTTTGGATTTGCATATACCGGGTGACTCAAAAAAATTAATGAATGCGTAAATTTGTTTTATTGATTTACTCAGGAACTACAAAACCGAATGGTTTGAAATCTTGAAGATGTTTTAAAGTTATCATAAGCATGGTAAGTTTTTGATCAAAGTGTTGCTCATCCCCCCTAAAAAATTTATGACGTCACCACAAAATTTTGCTGAATAAATTCTATCTCAAATGTATAAAATATGATGAGTCTCTTCTTGGGATTTATCATTCCGTTCATATTTTTTCGATTTGCAAATACAGGATGACCCAAAAAAAAAATGAATGCGTAAATATATTTTATTGATTCAGTCAGGAACTACAGAACCGAAGGTTTTGAAATCTTGCAGTCAAAATATATTTGGTTATCTTCTCCAAAAAACTGATGACTCAGCTCAAAAGTTTGCCGAATAAATCCTATCTAGAATATACAAAATATGATAAGTCTGTACTTGTAATTTATCATTCCATTCATATTTTTTGAATTTGCATATACCGGGTGACCCAAAAAAAAAAAATGAATGCGTAAATTTATTTTATTGATTTACTCAGGAACTACAAAACCGAATGCTTTGAAATCTACTGCGAAAAGAAAACATAATAGGCATGCAGTCGTCACGTTCCCGACAGCGAGGGAAGTACTGTCTAAACTCTTTAGACCAATTTTTATCCGCTGTTTTAGTGATTTCGTTGTCTAATAAGAATGAGAAACGAGTCTGCAAACAAAATTCAGGTGGTTTGTGCAGGTGGAAGCCTGGCTGCAAGTCGTAAGTTAGTGGAGCGCCGGGAAGTGGCTAATTTTGCATTTTGCACAATCTCAAGATCATATGTGTCAACAAACGGTCAGTCAAAGACGAAATCATATTTTTGTAACAATCAAATTAAAAACAAATAATTTTATTTTTCGTTACATTTAGGCCAGAAGGGGTCCGTTTACTTCGGGGGCCTCATGGTCCAGCATCACAAGTATATCCCTATAAACCATTTCTACACAAGTACGGACATTATAATAGTATAATTATTAGCCAAGGTTGCAAAGCCAAGCATTCTAGACCGAGTGCTGTGACCGAGCGCAAATTAGAACCCGAGACGCGCAGCGTCGAGGGCTCTGAAGCGCGAGGTCTAGAAGTGGCTTTACAACCGTGGTTAATATACTATTTGTTTCACTAGTAGAAACCATAAGACAATAAATTGAAAAAATGAACGTTCAATTTTTTGGCGCAACATGATTTTGTTTTGTAACAATTTTTCTAATCAAACTTAATCTAAATCTTCAACACAAAGAAAACCGTTTACACTTGTCGCTGAATAAATAATAAATAAGTCTTTATCCAAGTATGCACTTATGCAGAACTGATTGTTTCAGGGGCGAGGCAAGTTATCAAAATAACAATAGGTAGTATAAGTCATGGACGAAAGAATATAATAATTTTATTCCTTCCTCCATAATAAATTCGACTATTTTTTGACGATTCCTCGTATAGAATCTCCTACTATCGCTCCCCCTACCGCCAGTCTCAGCAACGATCCATTTCGACCTGTTTTACCTACACGAGTTCCCAGACGTTTATTTCATCCTGAAATGTACTAAAATAATATGCGGCTAAAGCTAAAGCTAAAAGTAATACAGTGGACGAGACTGTCGCGGTGGTAGATCGTCTTGTGGCCTTTGTGCTTGCATCACTAAGAAGACGTTTATTAAAAATAATTGTGCCAGTGAAATTGTGATAAGTCTGGGCGGAACATTTTCAAAATTCAAAGAAATGGCAGAAAGTCGAGGATCTTTATTGGCCAAGTCGGTACAGAAACATGCAGGAAGAGCAAAAGAAAAGGTCAGTGACTCATTACTGAGTTAGGTTATGTCTTAAATTAATCTAATGTAATTAAAGGTATTGAATGACAACTAACAGTCGTTCTGTGACACTTGTTAAGGTATTTTCCTCCGTATCGACTAGAAATTACCTTGAAACTAGGTGTTTCGTCGCGGGCAAATTATTTCCCATGAAATATCACTGTTGATATATCGTAAATTAGCACAAACACCAGTCGTAAATTATTTTTTAAGTTATTGCAAACATCGGTCTGCTTGGTCGGAGCCTACATGCTCGCCCACAATATTCCCAAGCTTACCAAATACGCCAAGATATCAAAACTTTACCACAGCGTAAATTTCACACCGAAAAAGTAGCCCATCTTCGTGAATATATTCGTAAAATTCGCCTTGAGCACCAGGCAATCTTTTTTCCAGCGTGTTTATATCCTACTTTCTCGGAAAGTGTGCCAAACCTTTATATTTCAGAAATCCGTAATTTATCATTGTTTTTGGGAATTGTTCATTCGCCGCTGGATCACTCGAACGAAACAATCGAATTTCGATGAAAAATCTTCCAACCTTCAATGCAGCGAAGCACCTCCTTATATCATCCGACACCGCTCGCACTTGATCGACCCAAATATTTGCCGTCAAAATAATAATCTGCTGGATTTGTTGAATGAAAGTATGGTCTTTGGTAAATTCGAGCCATCTATTTTTATTTGTGATTCGCGTAACTTCAGCAATAGTTGACCGAGCCATCCAAATAAAATAGCCAGGCCTTAGAATAGCACGTCTTGGCACTTGCAACCGACTCCTCTCTATAGGAATTTTCTAACAGACTTCAAACTAAAAAGATAACAATTGCAAAGTTAAGTAATATGCAATGTTCACCGTGTTTTGCAATTAGGTCGCTGATACACCTCGACTCGTCCGTCGATGGATTGCTGCATTCCTAGAACGATTTGTTTGTTAGACGCCGATGTAACTGTATTTTAACTTATTTGGTGTGAGCGGTTTACTTATTTCGATTCATTACGACAAAATCAACGCTGGTTTTAATATTACTCCAATTTGGCATAATAACCATTACCATTTCAATGTAAAACTTCTTTAAACGCCTGCGATTTATATTTTATCAAGCTTTTAGTGTGCGCGTACTAAGTTTTCTTCATAATTCCTTCCTTACTTGTGATTTGGTCATTATCTTCTTTCTTCTTTCGCTTGAAAGGAAACTTGCATTCGTACGAGGCAACACTTTTTCTACAAAATTTGCATTCCTTTTGATAGCAACCACGTGTTGCCACCACGACTTTCAAATGTCAAGATTCGGCATGAATACGATATTCACAATGTTGGAAGTTTTGAGTTTGAAAATTACAGTAATTAAAGTGGATTTGTGTGGAAAGAAAACGAGAAACAGTTGTGAACACATATTTAACTACAAAAGAAAAAACAGCACCGTGTATTTTTAAACGAATTCTGGGTTGGAGTTCCTACACGTAGAACAGATGAAATCGCGTAATTTGTTTCGAAATTAAGCACAGTTTTAAACTGATTACTCATGTAAACAAACACTTTAATTTTATTTCACGCCTTTGTCATAATTGCTATTATTTTTTTTATTGTGCAGTCTGATTTTAAAGTCGTTTGCTTTTACATTAATTTTCGAATTGTCGTTATTTACTGTAACTCTTGGATTACCGATTACAATATTAATGTTTGACACAATAAATTATTGTTAGTCGTATAGAAAATTCACATAAAAGGAAATGACTTTCTGTGTAGTTTTTGTCTGACTGATTTCATTGATACAGGAACGGGTTATTATTCTTTTCCGTTTCGCAGGTTTAATTAGACAAATTATGCGTGATTTTATAAGCAGCATAGTCGAGTATGGTATGCCTATGTATGTATATGTCTTCCATTCGTACTTTTTGTTCTAAAAAAGAATAACCGACACTCAACCCTAAAACTCGAAAATGCAATTGGGTATGTGCGATTTCCATTTTATTTTTTTGTTTCTCATTTTTTGATAGATGAAGGTCAAATTTAGAAACTAATTAAAATTGAATACTTACCTATATTAGTTGATCACGTAATTTTCGATAATTGTGTACTCAACAACATTCAGAATTTTGTCATTCTTATATAGATTACGCAAATAGTAAACAACACAGGATACTAATTTTTTACTTACCGTACGCTTGAATATTAGCAATTTCTGTTATTCTTGCCTATAGAGAACACTGACCATATTTTGTCAGATATTTATTATTAGCGTGGAATTTATATAAAATAAAGAAATGGTAACTACATTTAACGGGAATTTTGTGGATATGAACAGAAGAAGTTGAAGTTGGAGAGAATAACGAAACTTTCTGTCTCCGAAATTCCACACTCCAGGGGTTCCATCATTGCCAGGAAGAGATAAGAATACTTCAGAATATTTGAACTAATTAAAATTTTCATTGTGTGATTTGCTATCATACTACTGCACTCGCAAAGTTCCTTTTTTTTTTTTTTAAATTACGTTACAAAATTTGTAACCTTGCGTAACATACAATTGTAGGAGCAAAAACGGAAAGCTAACAATGGGGACTGATTCTCCTCCTTGTGTATACCAAAAGGTATAAATATAAACGCATATAATCCTCCAACCTAATAGATCGTATTTTTTTGTGTGTAAAATTAGGGCTATGTAAACAGTATTGCACAACATAATCCACCTTACTTACTTTGGATATAATAATATTGTAATTGTCAAGTTTTTATGGAAGTGATTATACAGGGTGTTATTTAAAGGTACGTACAACAGTTCTTCGCGAAGTCCAAGAGGTCTGAAAAACTTATTTTGTGTTATCAAAACTATAAGGGTAAAATTAACCCTGATCTAATCTTTTTAGACGCTACTGAAGGATAAATAAGTAAAATTAATTTATTTTAGTAAATCCTAGAAAACTGTAACAATGAAACTTTTGTCAAGACTAAATGTTGCTATAGAAACGAAAGATCATCTTTTTATCAGAGGCGTACAACGAATTTGGACATAAATTTTAATAATTTTTATCTCTAAAATGAGAACACTTTTACCTGAACTTTTTTTAACTTTTAGCATCCATACTTCGAGACCAATTGCCGATTTTATTTTGTACGTACCTTTCAATAACATGCTGTATTAACTTTGTTCTTTCTTTTTGTATACATGTATGTATCGATGCAGATATCAATATTTTCTCTTTGTCATGATATGTACAGTCTTCATCTTCAGATAAGATGAAGATATCGTATTTTTATTAATTATCAAAAAAAAAAAAAAAATGTGAAACAGTACGTAATGGATAGATAAATCAGTCAAATACTCAAGGTTTCCGCCAGCTTCTAGATTGCGTCTTATTTATAACTTATAACTTTATGAATAATTGCTCTTAAATTAGTACCCTGTTGTAAACGTTGATGTTTCTTTCTGATCTAGTTTTTCGAATCATTCACGTTTATAGGAGGCGCAAAATACATGTTTTTACTTCCCAAGCGTAAGCGAAGGAAGTATTGTAATCGAGTCTGTCGGCCGACCTTCTACTTTTACGTTTTCTCGACCTTTCATGACCCGTACAGTACGAAGAAATAAGTCTCCCGTTTCCTTCTGTCGGTATGTTTGTCTGTCCGTCACAGATTTCTATTATACAGGTAATCTCCGAAAGTGTAGATGGTAAAACGCTAACCAAAATTTGTATATTCGTCGCCACCAATAATGTGATGACGCCACTTCAAAATTGTACATAATAAAAGGGTTTTAAATTGTATAACATAACATAGTCCTACACTAGTAGTTTATGTAGTAGTTTATGATAGCGTAATGATTTTTGGAAAAAAAATCAAAATTATAAAACAACATTTTCCAATTTACTTTTGGATTTGCAAAACCGAATGCTTTGAAATTTTGCAGATGTTTTACAGTTTTGATAAGCTACATGTCTTAAAAAAAGCGAATAATTTTTGTGTTTTCATATAAAGAAAAGTTGTATTTTATATCTTGGACAAACGCTGAAGATTTCAGAATCGTGTCAGAAGAGAATGTCAACGTTTAAATCAAGATATTCTTTTAATAGCAAGCATTTGCTGGGTTATAAATAGGGCGTAATTACGCTTCGAACCCGGTGGAAGTCTGTTCTGTTTGTGATTGATTAAAAATTATCATTAAGTGCTGCTTGATCTTATATTTTAAGTTAATATAAATGTAAAATTGTCTCAGTTTTTTTATTGGAAGTATTTCCTTTAACTGCGTATGAAAATATCAGATTTTTGTTACAAATGGAAGAAAAAACAAATCCAACATTATATATCAGGAAATTGATACCCCGTTACCCGTTGGTTGTAATCAAAGTCGATGTTTAAAGATTAATCAAATCACCGTACCGGTTTAGTAACATAGTTTAAAAACAATTGCTTTTATGCGGGTACTGTCATATTTTGGGAGACGTATGAATATTGTAACTGTGATACTATGCAATCTACGATAATACAGGTCAGTTGGGGAGTTTATAAATAAAAGGTAAAGGTGAAAAAACTTTTTTTTTTTCTTAAAATAATGTTTTCATACTTCCGGCAGCAGCAAAAACTGTTCGCGTTAGACTTTGGAGATTTTCCAAATTTCTTTATTGAGTTTAATTTCAAACTGATTTACAATTGCGTACGACAGTTTACTATAAAAAAAGAAAAAACTTTTCCTGGCAATTTCTTAAAAAAAAATGCACGTTTGTATTTTTTTTTTGCTGCAAAGAAGTATTGTATATAGTAGGTTATTTTGATGTTTAGTTTGTTATTTCCTCGACGTTTCACAACTTATATAATACGCAAATATTGGTCTCCCGTTTTCACGTCTGTACTCGGTCTATTATCCGGCTGTCTGTCGTTTGTTGGCAGGACGAAGATTCTACCTCCACGGTTGGCAGTTATTATACATTTACATAAATTGTTAGACCGACATTGTGTAAATGTTAAAACACTAACCAATATTTGTCATACGTGGTAGATATCTTTTATGTAAAAGGTCTTCTTACAAAAATGCGGTATTTTCGTGAAATTTTATCCTGCACGTGACTATCTATTCTTCATTGTGATAGCTTACCGTCTTTATTTGCAGAGAGTTATAAATAGACGATCGTCACCATTGTTAACAAGCCAACAAAACACTATCGAAATACTTTCCTTCTTTGATACATATAAATATAAAAGTTCAAAAAAAGTCCAATATCTTCAAAACGAAATTCCTGTTTCCAAGGAGCAAATAGTATTTGTTGCCACAATTAAACTTTGGATTATTGTGCCACTGCATTAGTAATAATGTTTGTAGCACGTGATTCTTCGAGTCGGTAATATGCAATTAAAAAGAAAAAAAAAAAAAACATGGTGCAAAAGGTAGTAAGAAAACAACCAGCAAATTAACACATCTTCAGCTTTCGTAGTGCAAAGAGTACGTAAAAATAAATATAGGTTACGTCTTTGTAAACATAATTTAATTTGCAAATTGAAGTTGAGTGTAAATTTGCTTCTTATGACAACTATTTACGCTTCGTGAGTTTCGAGATAAGTTCATAATTAATGGACTGTACCCTGGCAAGAATCTCGATGTTATAAGTTGAAGATCGAATAATCAAAAAATTACTTCATAACACGGATATACAGCTACATTGCACTTTTCACGTGAAAACCTGTTATTAGGATGATATGGATGACGTCACTTTTAACTATTTAAATCCCGCCATCGACGTGGATTATCGGTAGCCGTATACGTACGAGGTGTAGTTTGAAAATTTGTTAATTTTTGTTGTTTCCGAATTTAAACTGGGCCTGTATTTTCAAATCATTGTTCAATGTAATTTTTTGAACAAAAAAAGTGTTCATCTGTTCAGCAGAAAACTTTCTCGTTCTACGTTATACAGGGTTTTCGTAAATGTTTCTTACCTCCAAATATTGCAAATTTTCCGATTAAATGGTTAATTTGTCATCTGTTAGGGTAATTATGACACAATTTAAACCGTCGTTACCACCATAGTTATACACTTCGAAAAAGATGAAACAAATCAGTGATCACTTGTATGTTAGAATAATTTATGAAAACCCTGTATTTATTTCCGGATTTTTTTTTTGAGAGATATGATTTTTGAAGATTCTTACAATTTTAAACAAAAAATAAAGCATAAGTTACGTTAGGGGGGGGGGGTACTTTGATGTAAATTTATTTGTTTCATTGACCTTGAGCGCTGAAATTTCTTGAAAGTGGTGTGTGATCCGTATGTATCTTTGTAATCTGCCTTAACTTCGGTTATTTGTTCGCCATTTGTAGAACCTCTCCGAAAATCAATGTATTACGTATCATTTTTGGCATATTTGCAGCGCCCGGTCAACATGGACTGTAATATTATAGTTTTTAGAAAAACTACGGTATTGGTTGTATTTCAGAAGCGAAGGAAATTCGTTGCAAATAATTTTGCAGATTTTGTTATGATTATGAGTACTGCGACCTTTGTCTTTGTTTTTCTTTTTTTTTTAATATTAGAACAACAACTTTATAATAATGATTTTATAAATCTATGTCAGCATACATATTCAGTGTTTCATTTTGTAACAATGACAAGACGGTCACGGGACACCGACATTGTCATATTCTGCAAGCAAGAGACGTCCAGAAAAGTTGACATTACATATTCGTCAAAATGGTCATCACAATAGTTGCTTAACTGTTGAGAATTAAAACGTCCGTGAAAAGTTCCTAATTTCGTACCCTAATACTGTTGAAATTAACGTCTCGTTCCATCATCAGACATTCAACTCGCCGAAGAGAAATTGTTCCACATCTCCGTGCAAGATTCGTGAAATGTTAGCACTAGATGACCTGCAGTCCAGCTAAAGTTATTGTTGAAAGGAGAACGTCGCAGAAAAACTTGGGCAGGTACATACATGCACGCTCATTCCTTGCAAAGTAACCTACCTTTCAAGTAAAAATTTTCATGAAGAATGCGGCATTATAAGATTACAAAAGGGCGCAGACAGGTGCAAATGCTTTTCACAATCAGCGAAGACCGATTATTGTTTTGCATCAAGAGAGAAACTTGTTTTCGATTGAGTTACAAGTTCGAGTGGTAATAATTGCTGAACAAATACATATTTTTCGTCGAAGTTACGTTCTCTTTTATTTTACGTTTTCCTTTGATTTCGAAGTTGTATTGTCTGAAGAACGTTATCTCTACACATCTTCACATTCCATTTGTGGTTTCGTAAAGCAACCACTGTGGGTAGAGGATACACTCACGCAGGCTAAGAATGGAAGGTAATAACAGTTTTAAGGCGTGTGCTCACAGGTGAACTGAGAAAAATCGCTTAAAATCAACGAGTTGACATTTCCAAATAAGCCTTTCTTGCAGTTCTAACAACTCGAGTAAAATGAGCGAGAAAGTTGTAAATAATAATATCTTGTGGGAATGGTTCGCAGACAACAAACATTCCTCTGATAATAGTTATAAATTCATTATTCTTATACATGTCATTGAAAATCTATAAAAAGTTACGTTCACCTCACCGGCTCAGCAATGTTGCGTGTTTACAATTATTTAAATAATTAACGTTGAAAGCAGGAAATTGTTCTGTAAATGGCGTTATTTGTACTACGGGACGTACTCTTAAAATAAATTCAATTTATTTAAAATGTTCAATTTACACGGAATTAGTCACAGTTCACAGTAAAATTACTTTCAGGAATCTTCGATTTCATTTTATAAGTTTTGGGGGTAAATAGTTATTTACTTCTCGTACGCGTATCTAATATTTATAATTTGAGACAATTGGGTTAAGAGTGGCGATGAAAAAGGAGTGCTGTTTCTAAAATTAGGGCTCGTCTTTGCGTGTACGCAGAGTAGTAACTTTGGAGTCCACTTTAAACTAATCACAGTAGACGTGAAAAATTAGGGTTGTGAAAGGCGAATTGACATGTTTTTTTTTATTGTTGTATTGCTTAGTCTATAATCGTACTAAACACGTACTGATACCTCCAACTAATGAGGGAGTTATTTTCTAGGGAACATATTTGGGACACTCTATATGTTTAAGTCAATAATCTCTGCCTTCATAATTGCATAATTCGTCCTTTTTTTGTAACATTCGAACATCGGCTATGAATGCATTTAAGTTGAAATGCTTCGCCGATTCCTAGCAGAAATGTTGTAAGTTGTAAGTGTAGAAATCGGTTAAAGCAACAGGTGATGATATATTTCGAGATTTCAAAATAAACTGTAGTATTAAATCGTTATGATGTGTGTGTAGGTAATGCAGAATTGATCATAAATATTCGTTTACTGCATTTCAAGACATTAGGCTTTTATTGCAGAAAAACAGTAGTTTAAAAAACTAACAAAATCCAACGATACGTATACTTTGAAAAAATCGTGCAGATTAAAAACGAGTGACTGCAATAATTAAAATGTAGCAATTTCCATTGATCTTCTTTATAAATAATAAACGCATGTTGTTTGTTGAGTGAATACAAACTAGGTACTTGTGTATTGATGTAATATGATAACAACATGAATCATTTGGGAATCGCACATAATAGAATTCGTAATTAGGTGGGCAGTTTTATTTTCTACTAATAGTACACTCGTTATAACGTTTGCTGTGCGTTTTGTCCCTTCTCACTCTGCACAGGCCTCCTATTGTGACGTTTGGACAAGAAATTTAATTTAATTATCAATTGAGTCGCGTTGCATAATAGCATTTTGAGCGGAAAACGACTATTGAGTACATTGTGATGTAAAACGTCGTGTTACTTTAAATTAAAAATAAAAACCTAACGTGTAAACTGAACAAACTGGCCACGGTGCTATTTCTAGTTAATATGGACAACTTGAATGCATGGATTACACGAAAAGCTATTTTCATATTGTAAATAAATAGGTTTTTGATGAACGTGTAATAATTAAAAGTTGACGTCAACTTGCGATCATTACACATCCAAAGTCAACATATAAACACCCAATTTCCTCTTTTGATTCAAGGTAGTCCATGTTGATTTTTCTTTGGCATAAAACTTTTCCAGTATGCAAAGCAAATTTCGCCCGAAATCGATGTTTTATAGGGTGATGAACTTCGCAGCATTAACCACTTGAATTTATTTTGGTAATAAGTGCACTTTTAGCTTCATTACATGTTGGTTTTATGACCTTGGTGTATTTTGGCGGCTGAAATTGTGGAAGTTTTCTTGGCTTAAAATAGATTTTGCAAATTTTTATTTACAAAAAAATACACCGAGCTGCAGGAATTAACATTTTTTCGTATAATACAGTTGTATACTTGTTGATAATCTTCGCGATTATAAATTGCAGTTTGTTGTCATAAAGTATGTTTCATGTTCGTCAGTAATAAAACAATTTGAGAAAACATGCTAAATTTTGTCTTTAATTCTAGATCTTGCAAAACTTAGGAAAGGTCGATAGGACAGCGGACGAAATATTCGACGAACACCTACAAAACTTCACTAGACAACAGAACGCTGCGAATAGAATACAAAAAGAGTTTAATAATTACATAAGGTGTATAAGAGGTAATTTACAGGCTGGTAGATTTTTTAAAATTATTTGGATTTCTTGTGTGACTTTGATTTTTGAGCATATTGATAGTTTATTTGTCTGTGTACCTTAATACTAATCTTATATACTATAAAATCCAAATAGTTTCAATTCTTTTGACAATTGTTTTTATTCGTAATATTATTTTATTTGGGACTTGTTAGCCGCACAGGCAGCTTCAAAATCTCTGTTGGAAGCGATCGGCGAAACATACGAGAGTCAATGGACTGGACATGATTTGCTGTACGTTCAAACGCAATCGGTAGATATGCTATGGCAAGATTTTAGCCACAAGTTAGCCGACCAAGTACTTTTGCCGTTGAATACTTATCAGAGTCAGTTCCCGGAGATGAGGGTGAGTCGGTATGAGTAGTTGCAATGCAGGATATATAGATTTTATTGTAGAAAAAAATCGACAAAAGGGGTAGGAAATTGGTAGATTATGACAGTCAAAGGCACAGTTTCCAAGCTCTTCAAACGAACATGAAAAAGAGGGATGATGCCAAGATCGCCAAGGGTCGGGAACAGTTAGAAGAGGCCAAACGAACATACGAAATGTTAAATTCGGAATTACACGACGAGCTTCCAGCTTTATATGATTCCAGAATACTGTTCCTTGTGACGAATTTACAATCTCTTTTTAATGCCGAACACGTTTTCCACTCAGAAGCAGCTAAGGTAAGTTAATTGTGCTGGTGTAAGTGTCGTGTAGAATTAATTAATACTTACTTTGGTAATGTAAATTAAGTAGTAAATAACATTTTTCTTTGCTTAAATTTCATTGTATGTTTTATACCAATATTATTTGAAATACACACGTAGCTTTGAGATAAAACTCACTTTAAAGCCAGTGAACATGATTTAGTAATCGCCGAGTCCACGCTGTCGACCGCCACTAATTGTGGAATAATTTTTTACTACTTATCAAAACTTTTTATACGGACTCCATGTACTCGTCTTTATTTTAAAATTGTATGTTATGATGTCTTTCACCAAGTTTCACTTTGTAGAATTATTTCACGTGCGGATAGTAGTTTTTAAGTAATTTTGACTTGAATACTTGATTTTTTTAATTTATCGAAGTAACATTGATGGCAATTTATCAAATTACCTAAAAGTTCGACTAAGTTTGTTATCGGTATCTTTTTATCGTAGTCATTTATCGTGATATTGCTAGATGTCGGAACTATGAAGTCGTTTCTATTTTTGAAAAGAAACAATACATATTTTCTATTAATAATGTTTTCAAAGTTTGTAAGTAAAAGAATTATTTGGAGTGAAATAGTTGGATTTGTTATACTTTATAGTTATTTAATAACGTTTTGAACTATGCAGCAGTTTATAAAAATATTACCTCTAGAAAAAGAACTCAACTTTGGAAATTATATTATTCGTCTGCTTGTGACTCTGACAGTTACATTTATTAAACCGTTATATTTTTACTAGTGTTAATTTCAGCTATATAAATTTAAATATTCTATTTAAACCAGTAGCTCTTCTGTCTGAAGAAGCTACTGGATACCACCTAAACACGTATAGCAGTGTTCTACAATAAATTATTTTAAACTCAAAACCTTCCTGTTTGTGAAAAGTTAAACAAATGTTGATCTAACAGAAAAAAGTCGTTTCAGATTTTTGGTGAACTGGAAGCGGTCGTCGATAAACTTGCGACTGATAGTCAAAGGGGATCGTATAGTGTAAAAAAGACAAATGGTTCCAGTTTGCCACGTCCATCGAGCAAGAATTCGTCACCTTTAATCATCAATAATATTTCTCCAATAACTTCACCGCACCGTAAGTGTTTCGTTGCCAGTTGAAATTGTAATAATTATTGTTCTTAATGTGTTGGCTTTCACTACTATCCCAACATTTACTAAAACTAAATTATTTCACTCTAAATTTCATTTCGTTGGGTTTGTAGAATTATTAAAAACGCACAAAATTCACGTTACAGTAGAACGTCGACTCTGGGTCGAAGTTTTACAACTTTTTTTTTTTTTTAACTAACATTGTTTATGTTGTGTTAAATTTGAGCGTGTGTTTTGCAGCCGAAGACCCTACACAATCCCCAACTAAAAAAGACTCTCCTAAAAGTGAAACTGCGCAACTGTATCCGGCCGTTCCAACCACTCCCACAAAAACAGAACCAAATCCTCCATCTACTCCAGTAGAACCAACAACCCCTGTTACTCCTTCCAAAGTTGTTCCTCCAGAAATAAACGGTGCGACTACTCCCGATGGTAAGCCTTCCTCCCCTGAACCCAGCATTCCTCAAGCTGCTAATGAGAAAGCCAGTATTAACAATGCCCAAACAAACAATAAAAAAGTCGAGGAACTTTATGACATTCCTGTTGGTAAGTACCATTAGATTAAAAATGCATGTATTGTAATAGATATCACCATTAAACTTTAAACCATGCACATTTTTGTTAGTTTTGGTCAAAGTCGCTACTAAATTTTCAAATCGTCTGTTCGGACAAAAATAATTTGAATGCAAATCAATTTCTAGGTGCTAGTACTGATAATTTGCCACCAGGTGTGTTATACAGAGTAAAAGCAACATATAAATACAACAGAGAAGATGTTGATGAACTTTCATTTGATGTTGGAGAGATAATTCAAGTAATAGAATATGATGATCCAGAAGAACAGGTAATTGCAATCATACATTTTGAAATTAATTTCCTTGAATATTACTTTTTAAGGAGGAGGGATGGTTGATGGGTATTAAAGAAACTTCCGGGGAGAAAGGGATGTTCCCAGCGAATTTTACGCGACCACTTTAAGCTCCTTGTAAAATTAAACAGGGAACTCAATTTGCACATACACTAACAAAGGACTTCCACGATAGTCCGTTTATATTAAAATTCAAGTGCCTTATTGCATATTTGTATGAAACTATTGTTTTCTTTTAAGTTATACATTTATATTTTATACAATGAATGCTCACTGTTAATTTATTTATTATGATATTATTTACAGATTTTATTCCGTTCGAACAGTAAGATCTGAACGTAAAGAACGCATCAGATATTACACTTTAGGTGAATTAAAATTTGCTAGTTAGAATTTAAGTACAAATATTAAAAACATATTATGAGTATAATCAAATAATGCTTGCTCATGTCCGCCTGAGTGTGGAATTTTTCGTCTCGAATATGGAACTCGGACATAACAGAACTAATCATTTTTATGGTAGAATAAGTTTTACATTTATTTATATGCATTTTCTCTAGTGTACTGTGGAAAGCATTATGAACATTTTTGTTTTGTTTCTGCGTATAGCAAGTCTAACTAGTCATCAAAACAATCATCACTGCTCAAATTTGATAAAAAAAATTTACTGTATCAAGTTAGGCATCATCTAGTCACATTTTTTAACATGTCTTCAGATTTTCTCATTTATAATGTCGTTTGGGATCAAGATTTCAGGTGCCAAGAATTTTTTGTTTGTCCATTTTTTTTTTAATTCACTTTTGAAATTTTTAATATGTATCTATATATAAGTGAATTCAAAAACTTTGTAAATATTTACATTGTTGAAGTGATTAAAGTAATTATGTTATTGTTGGTTCTTCCACTTATTTTGAAATGTTCATATTTGTGCCTTAAATATAATTGATGATATATTGTTACTTTTTGTTTTACATTAGATTAAATTTTTGCTATTCAGGCGAAGGATTGTTACTGTGTAGTAAATATTCTTGTACAATAAATGTAACTTATTTTTATCCGGTTAATTATGTTTTAATATTTTATTATTATTATTAACTAATTTTAAGTAGAGTGTATGTTTGGATTATGTTAAATAAAGTTTAATTATTATAGTTGTTCGTTGAGATTATTTTCTTAAATCATCGAGTGACTGTCAAAACGTAAAAATAAAAGTTTTAATGGAATAGTAGTCCTATTGTCCACTGTTTCACAGTTAGTCTCTTCACCTCAGTCGTTTTCTGTATTTTTTGCATTAATTCTGAGGTGTTGATTACACATTATTGTTAGTCCCTTGTTCTATATTTTCTTGACGTTGAGGTGCTAAAATCAAAAAACGAACCACAACCCATTCTGATTTCTAATACTTACTTGAACTATCACCTAAAATTCGGGTAAAGCGTCTTTTGATAATGTACCAAAATCACGACGCGATGTAAACCTAATTGCAATTTGTATCAACATGTCTAGTGGATTCAAGTACCTCTCGTTGTAGCTGAATCCGAGAAGCCAGAACGCATTTAACCCAAAGTTTTAGAATGGGCGCCCCAGCATAATTTCGCGTAGATTACATGGCTAAAAAAAGTGCCCACGGAGAAGGAAACGGGAATCAAGTTTTTATATTCTAAAAGTCATAATAAGATTTCGAGAAAACATGAGAGGAACCATTCGTCAAGTTAAAAATTATTAAACGATTCTATTTTTTTTTTACGTTATTTTTTGTTGCATAAAGTCCCCAACAGACGGGGAAGTACCGGGTAACTATTAATGATTGAAGCAAATTTTTGTGTTGGCCGTTCTGAATTAATGGCAGCCATGCACAGTTGTCAATTTTGACATGAACACACCTCACAAACGCATTGATTGGTTGTGACGATGACCGCTACGAGCCAGGCCATGGACGAATGAATATAATATTATATAATTTAATAATTATATTCTTTCCTACATGTAACTAAGTAGTGTTATAAAACTTAAACGTCAATTTGAGGTTCGGTATGTCATCACAAAATTTTAAATATGTTGCCAACCTGACAAAAAAAATTACAAACATTAATAGTCATAACTCGGTATTTATATGTAGCAAGGTCATTAAGATGCATATTTAATATCGTTATTCATAGTTCGTATTTTACAAAAAGTTATTGATGGTTTCCTGTTTTTATCACTCGGTCTCTGTCTTCTGGGGGAAACTTTTTATTTCTAATTTCAAAGTGTATTTTAATATCATTGTGAAAATGATATCTAAATCACTGAATACCTCTATAGTGACACTTTTTATTTAGGTATATAAAGTCGACAAACAGAAATGGCCTGGATTTTATTCCTTTACCTACTTTAAATCATTATTCATTGTTTTTATAAGTCACAGAAAAAATGTTGACTATTCTCATTATCAACTCTTCACGTTTGAGTTGGGAACTATGTTTTTTCATTTGCAGATAACACCTTTTTATTCAAATTTTTTGTTGTAACAAAATAATTTTCGGCATTTTAAATTTTAAAGACAGAAACACAGGACAGAAGTCACAAATGTTGCAACTCGATAATGTGATTTATAAATGTTTGAGGGTCGGCAATATTTGTGAAACGCTCTGTCTATACGCTGACACCAGTTCAACTTGTTGTCTATATATACTTCAAGAAATTTTGCAATTTCTAAATTTTCAGCCTTAGTGAGGAAGACTTCGACTTTTTCGAATTTATCTTCATTTTGTTGTTGTGGGCTGTGGTCTTAATATTTTCGTGGCTGTCTTTCAGTTTAGAACTAACTTCTAGTTCTTCTTTTCCTTTTTTTTAGGGAGGAAGTGTCATCAATCCATCAGCAAACAGACAACAAGTCGAGGTTGTTACGTTTTCAGTTAGATGATTGACATAATATTAGGAACAGTATCGACCTGTGGTATTGGCCCCAGAACTGATCGTTGCGGTACAGCATTATTTACTTGATTTTTTTTTTTTAATTTCTGAAACCACTTTAGTTGTTTTTACGATTTAGCTTCTGTTCCTAAGATGCGGTGTTACCAACAGAGTAGTGACGGTGTTTCAGCAATATTTGCCTCATTTTTTAAACCAAAGGCCAAAATTTGTATTTTATTTTGTTTTCCGAATGCATTACTTCCAGGACATGTCGTTGTCGGGAGGTTATTCATAAAATTACGTACATTGAATTCGAAAGTACGAATCTCCATAATTATAACTTAACTGTGACTTGCGTTTGTGCATCTTCGTCGCCGCCACCGCCACCGCCACAGACTTCCAGACGAGTTACCGCTATCCAGTCCAAATCTCATGGGATCGCCGAGTTATAACATCACGTTTTCATGTCCACTTACACCACCATCGTAACGATGCGATGTACCAAAAAAAAAGGCAATTAGGTGACACAACCGTCAACCCATTTTTGATCGCGCCCATGGGAAAAAAGAAATGTAAATTTTGAACGGTCCTCGATTCGCGCGCTTCGCGCACTTCCTGTTCTGCGTGCACCGTCGGCTGGTACAGATCAGCGCCATATTGACAAGAGGCGGCTGCTGTTTGGCGTGAAATGGATTTGTGGTGAACGTGCAGAGTGCATCGGTGCAGTTTCCCGGAAACGAAGAATCGGTAAGCAGCGACCCAATGGTGGCGAGTGCTTGATGGTACAGCGAGTCGTGTGCGCCGCCGGATCGAGCCGTAACCTCAGCCCAGCGGACGGGACGGCGACTCGCCGCCCATCGCCCCAATCCTGTTAGCGGGGGCCGTGAATGAGGCTTCCCCAATCCGTTTACCCTAACAGGATCAAATCGAGCCCCCACGAGGTATAAGAGCATGCCGGCGGACCGACCCAAGCACCACACCCAGCCAACTGCGATGGAAGGAAGTGTCTGTCTGTAGGTGTGTTTTGGTCTAGTCGGCGTGGATGGTGGTAGCTAAGGGGGCCCATCACCAAGAGCATGACCATGCAGTGCTGCCAATCGGATGAGGCTCGGGAACAGAAACGCATCAACGCCGAAATCGAAAAGCAGCTACGGCGAGATAAGCGCGATGCGAGGCGAGAACTCAAGCTTTTGCTTCTTGGTGAGTCCCATATTTAACCCATCAACCAACCCATGCCCTGATCCGGACCATAACGAGCGATGTTTATCTCCGCTTTGCACGTAGCTGCCGCCTCGGAACTGGTGCACAAGTGTGAGATAACAGCTTGGCCCCAAATTACATTGTACTTTTGATTAAAAAAAATACGAGTATTACAGAGCATTAGACATGCAATCGCGAAAATCTAGCTCGACAGGTTGACAATTCGACCGAGTGACAGTTTTGCACGACTCACTTGCACACGATACGTTTTTTCGAACCCGTCCACCAACAACTAAGTCAGAGCTTTTGCATTTCGGCACTGACTTCCTTAAATTCAATTGAAACTTGAAACTAAACCAATGCTAATATATACCGAGAAAGCAATAAAAAACGATATCAAAGACATCCATGGATTTGTTTTTGATCGCATATTTGTTTTGCCGATTTGAAAATGCAACTATCAGAGACAAACTCCCAAAAATCCATGGCTGAGTTTGGTCGTGTTTTCCTCATCGAGATATACTCCTCTTTCGTAAAAAATGTTTTAGCTGTTAACTACGAACCGAAGTTATTCTATTTGTGGTTAACATTTGAAATATTTTCAGTCATGTCAGCAGGATCCTAGAAAAGGCAGAAATTCGCCATTTCGAATTTTTTTTAATTGCATGGTTTTTCAGCGAAGAAGTTTGTGATTGGCAGCAGGGTACCATATGACATGATAACTCTACTGCGAGGAACAACTAACCACCAAAATGATTAGAATTAAAATAACGAGTTTTGTTTTTTGGTGGATACCATTGTTCTTCTTTACCTTGTTGAACAGAGAAAAACATTTCAATTTTTATCTTTGCCACTTGTAAAAAATACTCCCAGTTTTTTCAACTGTAAGTAGCCTGTGTTTGCACGGTGTCGCTCCTTGACTCTAGTCTAAATCTAAATTGTAGAAAATAAAGATTTTTTGTATGCCAAAACGACCAAAAAACGAAGGTCAAAAAGTACAGATGTTTTAAAAACAAAGTAAAAGTAGTAAAATTAGGAATTAGAATTTTCTGTTGTGGTATGTCCAATTTGCCTTTTTTTTATTTAGTTATAACCTGTAACTTAACACACACTAGAGAACTGAATAGGGATACAACGACAAAGGTTGTTTAATGTTTAATTTACTTCCGGAAATTTCCAATTTACAAATGACACAGAAATTTTTAATAATTTCAGTAGCTTTTTCGCCAGGATATATACATAAATTTTACCTACTTATATATATTGCGTTTGTAGCGTAGTAAACGAAAAATATTGGTTGGATGTAAGATGAACCAAAATTTTCGATTTCGTTCCGCATCCTTTTGTCGTTCATTGCGCGAATGTACCAATGTATAAAACTCACTTGACATACACCTTGTAAAACTTTTATGACTTAAGCGTCGTAAGTCAAACCACCCTTATAATGGATTTGATTATAATGGAGCTGTAAAGTTTTACTAGGTATATGTGAACTGAGTCAAGTTATACAATAGCCAGTTTGACTTCTAAGGGTGCTTTGGCTTAAGCCGCTCAAGTCATAAAAGTTTTACAGGGTGTATGTCAAGTGAGTTTTGTATAATTTTGTAGATTTCAATTAGGACTTACTTTCAAAATTTTTCCCTACAGAACAGTTTTTTCATTAAAATTTTTGACATTTTTAATTTTATTTTTTTGCGTTAATGGGTTATTTTTCACCTGAAGATTCATTTTTGTATATATTTTTTATCATTTTATATTCATTTATCTCAAATTTTCAAAATTAAATATTTATTAAAAAGTATTCTTTGTTTTGACCAGTTTGGCGTGACATGGTCTGTCCTGAAGCTAAATATTAATTATTCGATTTAAAAAAAAAAAAAAACACTAGGCAAACGACCTTTAACTAGTCCTTGCCGACATTTCGCTCAGAGTGGCAGTTGTGCAAGGCCCACGTGCACACGATACGTTTTCTGCGATCATGCGGTAACTAGTCGGACTCCGTGAACTTAGAAGATTTTTGTAAACAAATTCAGAACTTGTAAATTATTGGAAACTAAATATTTGACATTAAAGCTGACGTCTCAGAAGTAGCCTCCGTAAATTTTTACTTAATTACACATACTTCCTCGGTAATTTACTTCGGGTGCATTGTAGGTATGCCTGATTTAATTTTATTGCGAAGATAAAAATACCACGGTGCCCACGCTGCATAAACACATGAGCTTTTGGCCTCAACATTTTTTATTCGCAATTATCCAATTGGTACGCATTTTTTTAACAACTTCTTTCTGCAATTTGCACTGGTTACTTATATGTATCAGAATTCTATATTTTCGTTATTTGTTTCTACGCAATTTTATGTGTTACTTTATTTTTTCGTAGATGTCTTTAAATGTATCAAAAAAAATTCGTTCCTTCACTAGGATGAGGAAAGGCGAGACAGTAATTTTTTGTGAATGACAGGCACAAAAAATTCACGTATATATATAGTACAATCCATATCGACCTAAAATTCCAAAGTGTGAAAAAGTAATATTATCCTTTTTGAATCTGTTGCCGTGCACTTTTAGAATGAAAGGAAGGAGCATATTTTTGCTTCATTTTTAAAACAGAAAAAGCAACACGTAGTGTAAGTTACTGCTCCTAATAAAAATATTGTGCCGCTGTCTTAGAGGCCGAGTGAATTGGCATTTCGTGATTGTGATGGTGTACAAAATTCTATCTGCAAATTTGTAGTTATGTTCTTAGTATTTCATAACCTAATAAATAAACGATAAATTAAAGTGTTCTTCAAAATTATTGAGCAAAAATTTCAAAAATAAAATTGTTTATACTTTAACTGCCTTCGACGGATGCAAAGACAACCATTATAAATTAACTGTCTTTTGCTATAAATGGTTATTTTTTAATTGTGTTTTAAAGTTTTGAAATTTATAGCAAACAGACAAAACAATATTAGTCAATCTAATAACAACTTTCTGCACTATTTACTTATTAAAATAACATTGTTTATTTGTTATAGGTACTGGAGAATCCGGAAAATCTACATTTATTAAACAAATGCGAATCATTCATGGAGCTGGATACTCCGACGAAGATAAACGAGGATTTATCAAGCTGGTCTACCAAAACATCTTCATGGCTATGCAGAGTATGATTAAGGCTATGGATTTGTTAAAAATTCAATATGGCGAGTCTTCCAGTCCGGTGAGTGTTTTGAAGGTTTAAAAGTGCGATGTTTTCAGTATAAATAATTGTTTTAAACATATCTTTAAACTCTTAAAACTATTGACTAATAATTAGCAGTCTTAAATGTATTGTTTTCTTTTATTAAATTATATTGAATAAGCTTCTATTTGGTTACGAAGTTTATTAGCTTATTACATAAATATTTCTTAACGTTTTACTACTTTGGCATATTCATATGGATATGATACTCCAATAATCTTACGTCGCTTAGATGATCCGATCTAATGTAATGAATTCCATATTCTTTATGTAACGTAAAATTTAAGCCATTACTTGTTCAGGAAAATATGATTTGTTAAGTGGATTATCATAATAGAGCGTTACTTTGCAGAAAATTCAATTATTTTAATCATAAAAACTACGGGCTTCTTCGCATCTGGTCACCAATAACTATTGCAAATAAGGCAACATAAAAGAAATACCACAATCTGTTTCTAAAATATTGTGCGACACGGGCACTAATACACGTGGTGTGATAAAATTAGAGTAGTAAAATAACTTGTTCATTTACTCTTATCAATCCTTCAAAAAAACCACTTAGTCGCTTGAACCACGTTGATGTAGGTAACCTCGTCGCATTACGCTTTATAAAGAAAACAATTTTTTGGACAAATTATTTATCTGATTTCAGCATATATTCTATAGTATTACAAATGAATCTGTTTTTTTTTTTAACGTGAAAACAATTGTTTAAACATATTTTGAGGAAATACATATTAATTAATTTTATTTTATTATAGGCAAAAGCCGACTTAATAAAGGATATCGACTACGAAACCGTCACCACTTTTGAGAATCCATATGTAGATGCAATTAAGGATCTCTGGAAGGATGCCGGAATTCAGGAATGTTACGATCGCCGCAGAGAATACCAGCTTACGGATTCTGCAAAATAGTAAGTGTGACAATATTGTAAATAATAACATGTAATATTTTTACCATTGTAACGAACGCTGCCCTTAATAACTGCAAACAGTTGTGATAATTACAAAATTAGTCAATGGTGGTTGTGGAGTGTAGTGTTCTTATTGGTAGATTCAGTCACAAAAAGGTACAAACAAATGTATTCTCGTGAGTGCGTGACGTGTTCGTACATAACACACATCATCGTGTTCTCTTCGTTTCCGTCTGTTGCTAAACCCCCGGCTGTTAATAAATGAGAGAAATTGTTTGATTAATGGTTCGATTTAAGACTTTGACTTGAGGGACTTTTTTTAATTTCGTATTTGAACGTTCGGGGTCATACAATATTAAATGACGTACTCTTATGAACCATAGAGGGTTTTTGAATTACATTGTTGTTCATTTTTTAGAATTAGAGTAAAAAGTGGAATAGAAAAATGACGATGCAACGTACATAGAGTAACGTTAACAAAAACGTTAATTTATTGTAATTAAAACTAAAGCTGGTTGATTTGAAGAAAATATACAATTTTTAGAAACTGCTAACATTAACAGTTATATATACTATTACTATAAGTTACCTATTAATAGTCAGAAAATTGTAGGTGTTCTTGAAGTTCACGAAGACATTTGTCGAAATCGTAAAAACATCATTTTAAAAAAGTGAGCGAGCATTTAGTGATATGTAGGTAGATCTTCGTAATTAATATATCGATTATAAACATTTACTAATAAAATAAATAACAATGAATGTAACTTCCACCGCTGTACTGCACCAGGAAAATAAAATAGAGACATCACGTGCATGTTATAAAGAAATGGCGTTAGCGATTAAGTACGATTCTGTAGAACTAACAGTTTTTTCAATCAAGGTCATAGTGATATAACCAACCTGTGTGTAGTGGGTATTTGTAAAAATATCGGATATTAAGTTAAGCCATAATCCTAGGGAAATTTCTGTACTATATTTAATACTCCTAATAAATATACTAAAAAGCTAGTTTGTTATGTTAAAATGAATAATTAAAATTGATGTTTCGTAGTTTCACAAGCATTGCATAATACGAAAATTCAAATCACAAATTCACAGATTTACTTGTATTTTTTTGTTTGGTCGTCATTTTTGATTGTTTCATTTTATTATGAGCAATAAAGAAAATACCTAATCGAAAATCTTGAAATACTAGTGTTGTGGTGTGTACTATCAGGAATTAAATATCGTTAAAACTGCGCCAATAGTAATAACAAACTCCCGTTTTTGAAATCAACAAATTTTACGTTCTACTATATTTGGCGATTAAAAGATTGTCTAGAGAATCCGTAAAACTAGAGAGTACACAAGCAATTTAAAACGAACTGTACTTAACATAGGTTATATGAAACATGTTATCAAGGTCCGCCATTAAAAAAAGCGTACTAGCTAAAGTATATTATACATATATACATTTTGTGAAATTTTTCCGTAGAAGTGCCATTGTGACTGTAAATGTTAAAATATACTATAACAACAACATTCTTATATGAACGTTCCGATAATATTGTTCAGATTTTGATATTAAAAAGTGCATATAGCGTAAATTACAAAATTTGAAAAAGTATCTGTCGTGTCGGTCTCGTCGTGCCGCGGCCTCTAATTTCAACTGCTTTAAGTGTCATATTTTTACGAAATTGCCACATTTGTCGATACACACAACAATCATTGGTAATCATATGATCTATTTCTCTTTGTTCATAATTGCAAACATTTAATTGCTACTTTAACCGCAAAGAATAAAGTGGACATTAAAAAACCATATTGACGTTACGTATATTAGAGGTTTTTTTGTTATAAATTGTTAATTATAAAGGCGTGTGGGTTTACTCAGAATTCATGGTGAACAGTTTAGGTTAGCAATCTCGGGTGTCCAGTATCTTAAACTCGTGTAACTTACGCATTGAATGCATTATAAGGAGCTGTGGTTTTTTATTTCCGAGCGTAAACTAGTAAAGCATTGTGATAAGGTCCATTCGACGAATTGTTAATTTTATGTTTACTAGACGTTGCATACCTCTTAGAATACGAAAAAGTAGGTCTTCTGTTTCCACCTGTCTGTTGACCGCCTACAATCTGCCGCCAATTTTATTAGAGAAGTAATCTCCTAAACTATCGGACAGATTGGCATGAAATTTTGGATGCATTGTAAGAATACCATGTACATGGTAAAACGCTAACCAAAAAGTGTCTGTTTGTTCCCCTGATAACATCATCTTAAAATTTTGCTAAATACATCCTATTTACACTGTGCAAAATAATACGCTTCCATACCTGTGGTCGATTGGTTCAGTCTTATATTTAACATTATCGTTAACATTGGATTTTTCGAAAACAAAAATGAAAGTGGTACAGTAAACTTTTACAGTTTTTCTCAGACACTACACAACCGATTGCGCTGAAATTTTGTACAGGCTTTAGCATAAAAATAGGAGTATGTTATTTTGTAAAATTTAAATAGCATTTACTTTACAAAATTTTGATGTCGTCAAATTGTTGTTGGTGAGAATGATCAGAAAAATTTTAGTTAGCCTTTTACCATCTACACGATATTGTTAAAATACATATAAAATGTCAAACACTCAGTCCGGTAATTTCGGAGAATTTTCTGTCTAATAAAATCGCGAACAAACGACGGACGGACGGAAAACGGGACTTAATCTTTCAGAGTGTAGGAGTTATCAAACGTCGAGAACATATGAAATTTGCGGTTTGCCGGATAGATCTTATGTTTTTAAGGTGCCGTCTTTAATCGTACAATTTCTCGCAATGTCTCCGCCAGCAAAATCCGCCTTTTTATAATTTCGAGAATTGTTTTTTCGCGTCCCGTTTTTCGCCTATCCATAGCTGTTGGGTGTAAACCGAGTATGCGTTCCAGCTACTTGATGGAGATAGACCGGGTGGCGGCGCCGGACTACCTGCCAACAGAGCAGGACATCTTACGTGTGCGAGTGCCCACCACAGGCATCATAGAATATCCATTCGATCTGGACGAGATCAGGTTTAGGTACGGTCGGCATGAATTTGTCGCGCCTTTTTATTTCCTAACACTGGTGTGTGCCACGTCTTTTTGTAGCACGGCGTTCCTTTTTTAATTGATAGCGGGAGAGCACTCACACGTTCACTTGTCTAATTTACTACATTAGCTGGTCTGTGTCTTTGTTGTTTGGCTGCATGTTGCATGCTTATGTTGGTTGCAGCTATCTTAGCGACCTGGAGCGAATAAGAGCTCCTGACTATCTGCCCACCGAACAGGACATCCTCAGGGCGAGAGCGCCTACGACGGGCATCATAGAATATCCTTTTGATCTCGACTCCATTATTTTTAGGTATGAGTGCACATTGATTTCTTACAGTTGCTAGTTTTCGGTTGCGTTCGGTACGAGACCACGAAACGTACGAAAGGTTTAGTATACTTCTTTATTTTGATAGGTTTTACTTTTCAACCGATAATAGTTAAAGGGTTTTTTTGTTTTTGAAAAACATGGTTGAATCAAACGGGTTGGGGCATTTTTTTTTTATTTTTCGGTTTTTGTTTCACCCGAGATAATTAGTCTGTATAAATTTAGTCGTTGCATTGCAAGATGAAAATTCACGTTTTTGTGGAATATTTTTGGTATGTTATTAGATGTACATATGGACATTAATAGATAGATCTGTCGATTGTGTATCTCTTTGTAATTTTTATTTTGTTTGTTGAAATAACTAAAAAAACATGATGTAAAAAAATATCTGTTCTTTATAAGATTCGTACGGACTGATAGAATACTTAAAAAAAAGAATGTTTCGTTACGATCGTTAAAACTGCCCAGATTTTTTTTAACTCAAAAATATACCTGCAAAACCATCAAAAACCACCTGGTCTCATACAAAAGATTTTTTTAAGCGATCGCTGTATATATATGTTTCCTGCAAATAGTATACGTAATATGTTTTGATTGTTTTGAAGTACTCGGCATTTCTAGTTATACATTAAATTCTAACTCACTGTCAGCAGAAAATGTAGAATTTTTCTGTACAGATTGGAACTAGATGTAGTGATAGTCAGGGAAACTAAAATTTTACTATGTAATGGATATTCGAAAAATGTAATTCTACTTGATGCGAATTGCAAGAAAAACAGCACGGACATTATTTATAAAAAAATCAATGTCGGTTCTTCAAAATAACACGAATAGCACGTGTAGTAAATTACTTAAATAACTTGATGTTAATTAATAATTTTTTTTATTGTGTAGAATTACTTTTGTGTTGCAACGACTAGATTGTCATTAACGAATCTCGTTAAACGTGTAACGTTTGAAATTTCTAGGTGAAACAGAAAAAAGAAAAGAAAAAAATATATTTTTTTAAGTTAGTCGGTCACAAAAGAAAAATGCCAAAAGATCAGGTAAACGTTGTGTTGTTTTTATTTTTTTTTATTTAGCTTTTGTAGAAGCACTAACGCGTTATTGGCTTATTTTAAATGTCGATTTTGTAGTGTTACCAAGCGTGTTGCATGAATAAAGAAGTATTTTAAATAAACACATAATCTTAAAGCTTGCAACTTGTAGTGTAACGTAAATCTGTTCACTAACATAATAACATGAGTTTTAATTCACTTCACGGTGAATCTTACGCTGTTTTAGTTTTTAGAGCACTTTTTGTTTAGTTGTTTTTTCTGTGTAGATTATGATTTTTGTAAATTACGTTTTAACGAAAGCAATATTTAATTAACGTTTTTTATTTATTTATTTTTTTAATTTGACGCAATATTTACTAACGTTTTTAATGTGTTTTGGATTATTGCAGAATGGTAGATGTTGGAGGCCAAAGGTCTGAAAGAAGAAAGTGGATTCACTGTTTCGAAAATGTGACATCCATCATCTTTCTAGTAGCTTTAAGTGAATACGACCAGATCCTTTTCGAATCAGAAAATGAGGTAAGGAAATGTACGATTCAAGGATACTTTTTAAAATACCAACGTTTTTCAGAATCGTATGGAAGAGTCCAAAGCACTCTTCAAAACCATCATAACATACCCATGGTTTCAGCATTCGTCGGTCATTTTATTTTTAAATAAAAAAGATTTACTGGAAGAAAAAATCATGTATTCACATCTTGTAGATTATTTTCCAGAATATGATGGTAAGTAACTCATTTTTGTTTCGTTATATTACAAATGTCGTGTATTTTTCCACCAAAGGAGCAAAGCAGGATCATATCGCGGCAAGAGAATATATTTTAAAAGTGTATTTGAGAGAAAATCCTGATCCTGAACGCAGTTGTTACTCACATTTTACAACAGCAACAGGTTCAATGCAATTTGTCTTTGCTAGAATTACAGTAGATTTCCAACGTAGAACTCATTAATTAAACGTCCTTTTGCCGCCGTTTGATATTTACATTCTTAATCACAAAAATGGTAGCAATGCTAATTGTGTTTTAAATAGGCCTCCAACGAGATGCGATTGCAGCTAGGGAATTTATTCTTAGGATGTTTGTCGACCTCAATCCAGACAGTGAAAAAATCATATACTCACACTTTACATGTGCTACAGGTATTTTTAGTTTATGAACCGATAGCTTTCGCTTTCTTAATCGGCCCTAACAAGTTTTAATTTTACTTATTGATGTGTTATATTTAAATTAATTTTTTTGTGCATGCTTTCATGTGGAATGGACTTTCTTTTCTTTTTGTTGTCAAATCAGATACGGAGAATATTAAACTTGTGTTTTGTGCTGTTAAAGATACGATTATGCAGACAGCATTGAAAGAGTTTAATTTAGCTTAAGTTTTGCATGGACGGTGTAGAGGAAGGGGACTTGAATGTTCGCATTAAGGTGACGGAAATATTTTGTATTCTTGAGTGACTGTTCGTGTATGTTGGTACCCAACTAACCGCCATACAATGCAATTAATTAATATGCCCGTAACTTGTAAAATGTACAAATTACAGTCAATATAACTATAATTCGCATTTGCAACAGGGCGGGACGTTGATGCGATATTTACTTGTTCAGGACAAGTAACGTAAATACGAATTCACATATTTGCAACATTTGCATAAAAATCGAGAATCTATTTATTAATAATTCTATTTTATTAATGCTGTAACGTTAAATAGAACATTCAGAAAATCAAAAATGTAATAGAAACTTGTAATAAGCAAAACAAAAACATTATGCCTTCTATAAAAAGGTGGGTAGTGCCACATTTTGGACCTTTTCATATATATTACAATTAACACGTTAATTATTAGTAGGACTGTTCCCATATATGTATACGCTACTAAACATATATTTACAGGACATTTTAATAGTTCGTTTAATAACTAAAAGGTACGCAACATTTTTGTGGCATATAATTCTAGTATTTTAAAGTTCTATTATGTTGGTTGGGTGTATTTAAAAGTGATCAGTAGTGAATAAACGCAAGAAATTTTTGGACATAATTTGTGTAGAAATTATTTACTTGTATGCAAGTAGTTGGCCTTATGTTTATTTAAATAAAATTTATTGTTACAACACACTTTATTCTTTATAAATTTTGATACGTATTCAATAACTCTTTTTTCTGCATTAATTGTTATGCTTCACTCTTCCACTACCACAAAAACATCATCGCTTTGGTTTCAGTGCCTGTCTTGTTCTTAATATCGTTGTTTTTCTTTCCTATCGTCGTCGTGGTCTCATTTATATGTACTTTATATTTTTGTAATTTAATCTATTCACCTTACGTTTTTCAAGAGCGCTTATGTCTTTTTTTCGGGTCATGTTCCACATCTCATATAGATTTTCACTTGTATTTTTAACTACGTGCGCAATTTTCATTATAAAATGTAATTTCTTGGTTCTTCACGGCTTATTTTCGGTCTGTGTTTAATAAGTTATACAGAGTTTTCTTGATACATTCCAAAACGGTTAGCTTTTTGACTGCAGTAATTCTATTATAATTGGATTTTTACTGTATCAATGTTCACTGCTTGAAATTGATAAAAAACTTGCATTAATGAAAATCGAAAATGTCAAAACTTTTATTTCTTCCAGTGCTTACGTTTTTCTCAGACCTTGTAAATAAAAAAATCTGAAATACGGTCAAATATTCAATAAAATGAAAATAATGTTTCGTTTCAATCTTATCCAAATATTGTGATTGAGTTAAATTGTTCTTAGGTTTTCTGTAAATGAGTACGAACTTGATAATATTTAAATATCCTTTGTGTTCGATATCTTCTGACCACAAATTAACAAATAAAGTTCTTCCATAACACTATTACTGCACTACACTCAACGTTTCATAATTAAATATGGTTTGGACAAGTACTTTTTTATAATTAAAATTTGTGTTATCCAGGTGTGGATGTGAATGCATGTACTAATTAAATTTAAAATATAAAAAGAGAACTGTTTGTGATGTGATTTAATTTTTCAGATACTGAGAATATAAAGTTTGTATTTGCGGCTGTAAAAGATACGATACTACAGTCTAACCTCCGTGAGTACAATTTGGTTTAGGAGAAAGATACGATTGTGATACGAGTATGGATCACGTCAAGAATAAACCAAGGACTTCGATTGTGATGTTATCCTGATTTACTGTCGATTAAATTTATTTGTGTCAAAGTGTGCGCTTAGCTTAGTGGCTGCGTTGGAGTAAATCTAGTGCCATTTTACTAGTATGGTGTCCCTCGATGGATTAAAGCCAAAGTGTTTTTTTAACAGTGCGAAAGCATTATGACTATTCATTATTATAAATAGTATTGTTATATATAATATATTAAATTAATGTAGAAATAGAATGTAAGACACTAAACTTTTCCCATATTTGCAAATATTTTGAATACGTGCAGTTCTTAAGAAGGCGTCATAGAAGAATTCATAGATCAAAAGCTTTTATTTGCATGAGTGTCGTCTTTCAGTCAAGTTTATGATTGTGCAATCAGTATTTGACTGTTGACGGCATTACGTATTTCAAGACTGCCAGTGTCTATGAAAAAAATACAATTTACAGCAAGAGGGATGTATTTGGAAAGCGATTAACTGGTCATAAACTGTTAGTGGGCTTTCTTTGCGTATTTTCCGTTAACTTACTATACTAATGGCAAATTTATAAACATATTATAGGAGCTTGGTTTTATGTGGGTAAATGAGCGGATGATTGATGAATGTTTGTGGCAATAGTACATTTGTAAAATCAATCTTTGTCAAATATAGATTTTTTTCTGAAGTCGCAGAGTTTTTATCGAATCCAATCCCCCAATCCATGAGTCTCAGAATATTTTTCAAGAAAATCTTTGTTCTTTAAAGCCAAAGGCAATTGATGCAACTATTCTTAGGTACAGCCCATTCGCACCCCTATTTTTAGTTACCGAAAGCATTATATTGGATTCCATCGGACGAATGGCTAATTTCGTGTTGTCTCGACAATTTATAACTTCATGCAAACGAATTTAAGTATTCCTATGCTACCGGACTGAAGTGAAATTTCACAGGCGTTTTAGGAATATCGTGTGGATGGATATGGTGCTAATTAAAATTTTTCTGATCATTCTCGCCAAGAATTTGATCACGCTATACAAAATTTTGCAAACTCATCAATCTTCATTAAATTTCATAAAATAACATGGTGGTTTATAAATTCACCAAAAATAAACAAATTGTGGACTTCCAAAATAAATTAAGACGAGTGCTGAAGAAGGTGAAGATCTGAAGCTAGTTCAGTAGAATCACGGAGGTAGAAGAGACTCTCTTCTACCTCCGTGAGTAGAATAAATAACTATGTATAACTAAGGGAAAGCGTTAATTCAAGTTGTGAACAAAATTGTTTAATTTTTTTTTCTCGGTAGTTCTCACATGCTGTGGTTTTGACTGTCACACGTAGTTTACGACAAGCGGTGTGCTTTTGTTGGGCTTGATGGATTCCTTAAGACCATTCTCGCGACTGTTGAATAGTAAAAATATCACAAAAACTGTGATTTGTTTTGTTCCATCATGCATTTATTGCATTAAAGCTAAATAGTCAAAAAATGTAATTTTGTCGTGTTTTTGATGTCATCTCCAAAATGATCACTTATCAAAATTAGATGTCGATTTATCGCATGGTAAAAAATATTAAGCTACAGATAATCGTAAGGTGAGAAACTATGTATTAATCTAAAAGTTATTACAAATACATGAGTTGACATAATTTTAAGGTTATTTATAGAACCAACGGGAAATTTTTGTTTGAAAGTACTGGTGGTTCCAAGTTGAAGTAGTTACCTATGTAAATGACGTCTTCGGCAGTGAGGTGAAAGATTAATCTTTCACTTCACTGGACTTGAGGCAGTTTTAAAATTGGCGCGTTCAACCACGTTTGAGTAAAGTCACTAGAAAGATATGAATCTAGTGACTTTACGTTTGAGGCACTTTGAGATTCATCCAATGCCACCAAACTGACAAAACGAAAACTTCTCAAAACAAAATGGTGGTTCGCTAAATGCACAGGGGTGAAAGCAAGATAGGCAAACCAGCAACACGAGTTTGTAGGGGCCACGACGGACGAAGTGAGGCAAGGGGAAATGACGTTGGTGACAGTTTGGTGCAGTTTGGTGATTTCAGTGTGATTTTGGTGGGAAACCGAAAATTCCTTTCACCAACAATGAACTGCTCACGCGTTGTGCATTGTGTTTTGTTTTGTTTTTGATTGTTTACCGCGTTTTCAGGTTAGCGTCAGTGTGGCGTCAGTGAATTTTTGTGCCATGAGTTGAAGTGTTGTGTTTTAGAAGCTTGTGTAAAGATAAGTATAAAATTTCACCATTTTTGTAATACGTTTTTGCAATTAATTAAGTATTTGTTGATCAGATTTTCATTCACTTATTTTCAGGAATTATGGAGGGAAAGAGGAAGAAATACTGCAAATTTCCAGGTTGCAACAATGCATACATCACAGGTGGTGGAAACAAGCACTATTTTCAGTTCCCGAAGGACCCAGAAGTGCATAGAAGATGGAAGGAAATTTGCAGTGTGAAGGAAAGTACAGGTTCTTCAAATTTTGTTATTTGTGAGGATCATTTTCGAAATACGGACTTTGTGAATGAGAACAAACAGAGATTGAAACCAGGCACTGTGCCGTTTGTACAGTGTTCTGATATTGCAGAGAATTTGTTATGCCCATGTTTTAACACTCCGTCAACTTCAAGCACTGTTTGCACTTGTGAAAGTTCTTATACAGAAAGTCTCGGTGAAGTAACATGCAACATTGATATTCAAGATCATGATTATTTTGTTAGAGACTTCGTGGATGTTCCCCAAAAGTTTGCGTTTTTGAATGAAGGGAGCAAGGGAATTTTAGGGAAAATAGGGCTTTCAAAGAAGGATTTAACTCCAACAAAAAATCTCATGTATAAAATTCATCGAAGCACCACTGCAAAATTGTCAAAATTAAAATCTTTGCTAGAAAATGAAAGGGAAAAAGTAAAAACACTTAGTGACTTGTATAAGAATGATAGGTTTGCTTTTCTTGAAAATGAGTTAAATTTTGTCACTAAGGAATTTGTTAATTCACAACTCAGAAATAGTAATAGAACGCCTCATGCTCGCAGATGGTCTGATCAAGATAAAGCTTTTGCATTGTCCATTTATAAAAAGAGTCCACGTTTGTATAGATATTTAGACAATTATTTTCAACTTCCATCAATCCGAACTTTAAAAGCTATTTTATCTAAAATTCCCTTTGAAACCGGCATCAATCCAGCAATTTTGGAACACCTGGCTAATGAAGTTCACAGAATGAAACCTGCAAACCGTGTTTGTTCGTTGCTTTTTGATGAAATCAGTTTGTCAGAGGGATTACATTACCAGGAGTCTTTACAAAAAATTTGTGGTTTTGAAGATTTGGGTTCATTGGGGAGATCACAACAGCATGCTAATCATGCTCTTGTTTTCATGGTCAGGGGTTTGCGCAAACAATGGAAACAAATTGTTGCATATTATTTTACGGCAAGCACTATTCCAACAGACAAGTTGATGGTCATTTTAAAAGAAATAATAGGTCAACTTCAGGCTGTCGGCCTGAATGTTGTGGCGACTGTTTGTGATCAAGGTTCAACTAACCAGTCTGCTTTGACGAAGTTATGTTCTGAACCCAATGAGAAACAAGGCCCCTTTTATTTTTTTGTTAATGAACAGCCTGTTGTCACCATTTTCGATGTTCCTCATTTATTGAAGTGCACTCGTAATGCGTTGTTAAAGTGTAAGCTAGAATTTGAACCAAACAAATTTGCCTTTTTTAGACATATTGAGGAAGTTTTCAACATTGACCAAAGGAAGTCTTTCAAGGCTCTCCCAAAATTGAGGGTCGAGCATTTTAATTTTAAGGATTCATACGTCAAAATGAAAGTCAAAGTGGCGGCAGCTCAGTTGAGTGCATCTGTAGCATCTGCTATAGAAACGTACTCGGTTTTTACTGAGTTGTTACCTTCCGAGGCTATTCATACGGCTGAATTCGTAAAATTAATTGACGACTTGTTTGATTCGTTGAACAGCTCTCAACCTCGAGCCAGTCACACCAAGCCTTTTAAAGGTGCTCTGAGAGAGAGTGTTCCTCATTGGGATCTTTGGTCAAAGTTGTTAACTGCGATGGACCACTGGAAGCTAACTGATCTGTCGTCTGGTGCCGATTGGACTAATCGTTACTCGTTTATTCGAGGTTGGCGAACTACGATTCGTTCAGTTATGTATCTGTGGCATCGTCTCAAAAACATTCCCGGTTTTGATTATTTAAATCTCCGTAGTTTAAACCAAGATCCTGTAGAGAATTTATTTTCCAGCGTTCGCCAACACGGAGTGTTTAACACCAACCCAACCTGTAAACAGTTCACTGCCGCCCTGAAAACTGTTGTGGTCAACAAGCTTGTTGCCCCAACAACAGAAGGGAATTGTGAAGATGATGGTTGCACGCCGTTGGAAAATCTCCGAAACCTGCTGCAATATGCAGAGAAGACTGAAACTGCGGAAGTGGAAGAGGTAACTGAATTTGAGGAAGAAGAGGTCAGTGGCACATCAAATTTGGACGCATCTATTTGTTTTGAAAACCTTGAAAAGCTGTCGGACGAAGACAGTCAAGGATTAGCCTATGTTTCAGGCTATATTTTAAAACAGATCGATGTATCCAATTGCGATGCTTGCCAGAGTGCGTTGACTACCACGGAGATGTTACCATCTCATTTGTTAACGTACTTCAAAGACCGTGGTGATGATGACTTGAGACTGACGTATGCAAGTGAGAATGTAATGTTGTTTGTTCGAAACATACATGACAATTTGTACACATTTTTGGACAAGAATGCTCATCAAACAAATTTGGAGAGTCGTTTCAAATCTGAGTACAAGTTAACATGTGGTCTTGGGCAAACTGTTTGTGAGAGACATGATTGTTTTGGTATGATTCTGGACAAGTGTACGAGGTTTTTGATTTACAAGTATGTTAGAGATAGAAAGAAAAGGAAAGGCTTGAGTGAAGGTCATCACACCAAAATGAAAAGATTTAAGAAAACTGCTTAAAGTATTTTTAAATTTTTTCATTACCTTACACCCCAATTTTGACTGAAATACTGGCTGTGACTTAACTTTCGGCTGCGACATTAAACCAAATATTGACTGTTAGAAAATTTGTTCATTTTATTTTACTGTTTGTGTTTTGTTTTTGTTATATTGTATATTAAGAGAATAACTTGTTTTGTTTTTTAATATTTTTATTTTTTGTTATACTTGTTTATGCATGCCAAAGAATTATTTTGTTTGAAATATTTTTATCGTTTTGTGCTTGATTAATTTTATTGAAAATATATTTATTTAGGTCATTATGTATTGTAATATATTATGGAATTAATAAATACATTTTTTTTTCAGCATATCTGGGTTTTATTGAAAAATGAGTGAAATTAGAATTAAATTTAATAAACAAAAACATGGTACTGACTTTTAAACTACGCGCTTGCCCGTTAGTTGGGCCACTACGACACCAGGTGGCTCTACTTTTTGTGTTTCTTGAAATTTGTAGGGACTTTGCATTTCTATTAGTGAGTGTTCTGTGGCTAAATGGCTAACGAAACGACAAGAGTGTTGTATGACTAATGACGTCATGGCATTAAATGAATTCGTGCGTTGAAAACAGCATTATTTTTGCGATTAGTGGTTTTGTAACATTATTACAAACAGGTGTGTTATAAAATTATAATTATTTGATTATTACATTGGACGCATCAATAAACTAGATAATTTTTTAAGAACACGCAATAAGCGTTCAGTTGGAAGTGCTACTTGTAGTATAAAATTTTTGGGAGTTTGCAAAAAATTATCGACAGTCAAACAAACGCCTTATTTGATGGTTTGCATGTTAAAAATTCTACGACTCTAGTGCGTTCATTCTTACTGTTTTCAACAAAATGGAGTTATCAAGGTAAATCTAACCTCAGCTGGGTCATACACATTTAATATAAAATTAAACTTTTTTAGTATCTTACCAGCCCCTATACAACCTGTGTGGGATCGGGATGATGACAGGAGACAACAGAATTCTGCAAATCAACGTTCAACGGCAGTTGTGACAGCACAAAGCATCGCTCCTCCATATGGACAACGAAGGGGTTGGGTGCCCAGAGTGCACACTGATTATGGAGGTAATGAATAGGGCACCCACATTTACTGAAGCTTTTGAGTAATTACGTGTTCTGTTGTTGTAGATGGTGGAGCTTTTCCGGAAATCCACGTTGCTCAGTATCCGCTGGAAATGGGTCGAAAAGGCAAAGAGTCCACATCCAATGCTTTAGCAGTACAATTAGATGCTGAAGGCAAAGTAAAATATGACATCATTGCTAGACAAGGGCATGGAAAAGATAAAATCGTGTATTCAAAATTATCAGACTTGCTACCTGTGGAAGTAACAAGTGAAAAAGATCCCAGTTTAGAAAAACCTAATCAAGATGAAATTGACGATATCACAGAGAGAACCAGAGCTGCATTACAAAAATTGACGAATTCAAAAATTGCCGCTGCCATGCCTGTGCGATGTGCCGAAAAACAAGTAATACATGCATTTGTCATATTAAAGAAAATTATTGAGTAAATTTCAGGGACCAGCAGAGTTCATCCGCTATACTCCATCTCAACAAGGTGCCGCCTTCAATTCGGGCGCAAAACAACGCGTTATTAGATTAGTGGAAGCCCAAGTTGACCCAATGGAACCACCACGATTCAAAATAAACAAAAAAATACCAAGGGGGCCTCCTTCTCCTCCAGCTCCAGTACTACACAGTCCCACACGTCGTGTCACCGTCAAAGAACAAAAAGAATGGAAGATCCCACCCTGTATCTCTAACTGGAAGAACGCAAAAGGGTACACTGTGCCATTGGACAAACGATTAGCTGCCGATGGTCGAGGTTTGCAGCAACTCCACATCAACGAAAACTTCGCCAAGCTGGCAGAAGCTTTGTATATAGCGGATCGTAAGGCAAGAGAAGCTGTAGAAACCCGTGCTCAGCTCGAGAAGAAATTAGCTCAGAAAGAGAAAGAACAGAAAGAGGAGCATTTGAGGCAACTCGCACAGAAAGCCCGCGATGAACGAGCTGGTATTAAAGTGGGAATGTCTGGAGCAGATGCGAAAATAACGGACGAAGAAGAGCGAGAAAGGGAGATGTTGCGGCAAGATAGGCATAAGGAGAGAGCGAGAGAAAGGAACTTAGCAAGAGCTGCGCCTGATAAGCGTTCTAAATTGAAGAGAGAACGCGAGAGAGATATTTCGGAGCAGATCGCGCTCGGGATGCCCGCACGAGGAGTGTCTTCAAATGAAGTGCAATTCGATCAGAGATTGTTTGGGCAAGCTCAGGGCTTAGGACACGGATACGCGGATGATGAAGCTTATAATGTCTATGATAAACCATGGAGAGAAGGGGGTTCGATGGCGAATCATTTGTACAGACCTAGTAAAAACGTCGACAAGGAAGTATACGGAGAAGATCTAGAGAAGATCGTTAAAACTAACAGGTGAAGAGAGATGTGTAGTGTGTTGATTTGAATGTCATATTGCTTTGGTTTTGTTGCAGATTTGTTCCTGACAAGGAATTCAGTGGTACCGATCGTTCTGGCGGGGCTCGGTCCGGCCCTGTGCAGTTTGAAAAAGAAGAAGATCCATTTGGTCTTGATCAATTTTTGAGTCAAGCTAAACGTGCGAGTAAGCGCAAAGAACCAGACAGGAGAGATGACCGTGACAAAAGGAAGAGAAGGGATTAGAAGAAAAAAATACTGCAAGCTGTTTTTTTCTTATTATAAAACTGATTTATAAAGTAAATATAGTATACTGACATAATTAAAATTCATAATTGATTTTCTAAATTTTATCTCGGGGTACCGTTTGCACCTGGATGCCAATACACATAGTTATTTATTGAGCGACAGCGGCGTTGGCTGCGATGCTTGGGCTGTTGATTACTTCGCCTAAACTTTCCAAAAGTTCTTTCCTGTAGTCATCAAAATCTCCATCTAGTTCGTTTATAGTCTGATCTTCTATGACGTATAAGGCGCATTCAGTTTCTCTATAATAAATGAAATTTTATTAAAATTAAACTGGTAAATTGTCACGGACGTCGTATCTAGTCTATTCTACTCTACTGAGGTTTCTATATAGAAAATTATACGATTTTTTTTTTCTTTTTGGTATCAAAAACAACAAAAAAGTCTTGCTACATAAAAACTGCTGCTGAAATTGAAATAATATTAACCATATTGCAATATCTCTAAATTACTTTGATAGGCTTGCTAATGCTGAAAATAATAGCTACCTTATAAGGCGTTCGTCGTGACTCACTATAATAACACCACCACTATATTCGTTGATAGCTTCAGCTAATGCATCAATTGATTCTATGTCCAAATTATTTGTCGGTTCGTCCTAAAATTGAAAATATAATTGATGTGTATCTGCAAAAACGCTTTCCAATTTGTACATAAATAACGACGAACATCTCAAAGAACTTTTTTTTTACATTCATATTACATTTACTGTTAACAATTCTTAACAACCAATTCCATTTTATACAACTTACCAGTATAAGTACATCAGGGGCGTTAAGGCACAGTTCAGCTAAAGCAACGCGAGCTTTTTGACCTCCAGATAAATCCTTCATTTTAATAGTATGGGCATGACTAGCAAGCCCAAAAGTGCCCAACTGCTTTCGGGCTTTTTCATATGGAAGATCAAATAATCTCATTAAATATTCGGCTGGACTTTCTTCAGCAGTTAAATGTTCTCCTGAATGCTGATCAAATCTACCAATTCTCTAAAAAAAAAATAATAAAAAAATGAATATATTCACTGACAGATTACGATTATTGTATTACAAGTCTATGATTTTTCCTAACTTCTCCTCTTTGTGGTTGCAAATCACTAGTTAATAATTTCAAGAATGTTGATTTTCCTACTCCATTAGGACCCACAATTGCAACTCTACTACTCATATCAATGCCAAAATCGGTGTCAACAAACAGCGGTTTCTGACCCTCATAGGAAAAAGTAACATCTTAAAATACTCAGCTGAGATACAAGGGAAACATGATTATTCCAACTTACTGTGTAGACCTAGGATAGGAGGTTGCAAAGGTGGCGGTTCTGGAAATGAAAATTTTACAAAATACTCTTTAGGTTTCTGAAGAAGTTCAGTGGGAGCAGTTTCATCTTCTTGTTTTTGTATTTTTGACCTATTTTTTTCTTGTTTTCTCGTCAAGGCTTCCTTTTGTTTCTTCTCCTATAGGGAGAATAAATAAATACCAATATATCTATGACCTGTAAAATTATTAACTTACAGCTTGTTTTTTTGAAGAACCATGTGCTTTTAACTCTTTCAAACGTTTTTCCTGCTTTTCATATTCTTTTATCATTTCTTTCCGTTTCTGATGATACATTTTCTTAAACATTGAATAGTTTCCTTTGTAATAAAACAACTTTTGATTATCTAAGTGAATGATTTCATTGCAAACGTTATCAAGGAAAGACTGGTCATGGGAAACTATTAGCAACGTTTTTTTCCATACTTGTAAGTAACTTAAAATAAAAAGTGTTTTTCTTTTTTGAATACACTGTGCACCTTGGTTTCACTTACTTATCTAACCAAATGACTGCATTTAGATCTAAATGATTTGTAGGTTCATCAAGAAGTAGTAAAGTGGGCTCCATATAAAGGGCTCTGGCTAAGGAAACTCTCATTCGCCAGCCACCTGAGAAATTCTTAGTTGCTCTATCCTGTTATGTAGGCACACAAAATAAACTCAAAGAAGACATATGTAACACAAAATCTTACTTGCATTTCTTTTGTAAATCCAAGACCAGCTAAAATTCGCCTAGCCCTTGGTTCAGCTGAATCTGCTCCAATAGCTTTCAATTCAGCGTATATCTCATTTAGTCGGTCTTGAACTGACAAATCGCCAGCATTGAACGTTTCTTCCAACTTTTTGCATTCATCTAACAACTCAGTTCGTTTAACATCAGCTTTTAATACAGAATCAACTGCTGAAAAGTCATCCGCGACGACTTCTTGTTCACAATATAAAATATCAATATTTGGGGGTATCGCAAACGCACGTTGAGCAATATGGCGTAATAGTGTAGTTTTCCCATGTCTGAAATACAGTTTCACTAAATTGTTTGGCAACATAAAAAAATACAGACCCATTAGGACCAACAAGACCATAGTGACGTCCTTGCGCGATTAATAAATTGGCGTTAACGAATAAATCATTTCCTTTGGCAGAAATACCAAAATTCTCTATTTTAATGTCTACAGCATTTTCTAAGTGTGCTAACTGACCGGCAGATTTTTGGGACTGTGAAACGGTAAAATTACTATCTAAATCTGAATGCCCTTGACCTCCTTTCTTTAACAAAGTCTCCATCTGTTTTTCATATTCTTGTTGTTTTTTTAATTTTTTTTTCTCTTTGTGTGTGAGCTTCTTTTCTTCAGGTTCTTTCTTCACCTCATCTTCACTTGCTTTGACATCTGACAACTGATCTGTAATTTCATCTATATCTTCAGCGGCTACTGGAGGTTTTTTATTTTCAACATGGTTTATATCATCTTTACTTTCGTCATCACTTTCTTGAGGTATTTCCTCTTGGTCTACATCTTCATCATTAAATTCTTGTTTCTTTTTGTTCTTGGCGTTCTTTTTACTTTTTTTCACTGGCTGCACTTCTTCTTCAACATCAGATATATCCAGTTCTACATAAATAAAGTTTAAAAGATTGGACAACTCCCTTAAATGTACAAACCCTTTTTCCCCGTTTTCTTCTTTGACTCAGGTTCGCTTTTAATTTCGGGTTTACTGTCTTCATCTTCACTACCTGAACTCTCTTGATCTTTTTTCTTAGATTCTAGTAAAATTGTGATGGAATTTGAAAGGATTTTTGACATATGTTACATTACTTACTCTTTTTTGCACTTTTCTTTGCCGCTGGTTGTATTTCTTCATTCACATTACCAATCAAAGAGGCAATCTTCGTATCATCATCGTCTTCATTATTCCAATCGTCTTTTTTCCCTTTTTTGCCCTTCTTGGTAGATTTACTTTTACTTGATTTTGAGGTTATGTCATTCTTTTCGGCATTTACTCTTGAAATCGCTACTTCTTCTTCGTCGTTGTCATCTTCTAAATTAAAATTTTTCTTGTTTGCACGTCTTTTCGACATTTTACGTAAACTAGGATAAATGTATTTTACAAACGAATGTACAATCTATCCACGTGTATGTGACATAAATTTCCTAAACTGTCAACTGTCAACTTGAACAGGAGTGACAGTATTGAGGGGCGGCAGGTGTCGTCCGTTTCTGAGTTTACAGACGGCACGTTTATCTACCGCAAGGTAGCAAGAAGATACAAAATTTAAATTTCTTTGACTCCTGAATTTTCCAAATGGATTTGATCAAATATTATAAACTTGAATAAGACGTAAAATTAGAGTTGGTTAAAAAATAAGTTTTGAAAACCTGTTCATAAAATATCAACACTTTTTCGACGCTATTGCAACGTTGGTTGCGTAGCTCACATATGAAAAAATATAATGCAGTCGGGATAGAGTATTATATGTACTTATTACGTTCGACAAAGATAAATAAGTGGATAATTACATCATGTTAACGAATTTACACTCTTATTTATGTATGGGGGTATATAGATGTCATTTCTCTGTCATTGTGAGAAGTTTGAATTAGTCTATGCTTTATAGTCAATGTTTGAAGTTTAAAAGATTTGTTTCGCATTCAGCGTCAGCATGTTCGCAGTGTCAAAAATTACAAAACTACAAAAAAGTCACAATGTTAAAAGAAGTTTTATACTTTGTCACAGTGAAATGACATTGACGTTTAAGTTTTGATAGCCGCGGGAGTATTTTAATATATGTATGACGAATAAACAGGAAAAAGAACAGTACCTACTATGTAAAAACAAATATTTATTCTCGTTGTACAAAAATTTTTTTGTTGCATGACCATTCTAACTCCACCTGTGTGACCAAATGAAAATGACAGAATGAATTCTGTCTTTTCCTATACATTTAATTATACCAACGTTAAATCTATATACAATAAGTAAATTGTTTTGTTTTCTCTTCTCCGTGAGTATAGTTTTGTTTAAAAATGTTGTTATTGCCCTAAAAATCATAAATCGTAGAATTCCAAATAACAAAAATACAACGTTTTTACAAATGTTTCATTTACAAAATGTTTACTTTTAACCACCTACTATTTTTATTACGGTTGCTTTTTATTTTTTTTTACGTTTAACAAGTGTAAAATAAGAAAATTCAGGTTTTGTTTCTGCCCTTATCCATGGATTAGTTGTCGGGTTATAAATAATTCAGTAACTTTTTGTAGGATAACTTTAAAATTTATATTTAATCCCTTCCAAAAATGCATGACGTCATCTCGAAACATATCGTGAACAAATCTAATCTGAAAAATTCAAGGCAATATGTTTTAACTGCACGGACGTGAGGTCACACAAGTTAGGATTTTCAACAAGTACTTTTTTTTAATTTGTTTTAAAATTGTTAAAAAAAGTAACTGTTTACATGAGTAAGCGATGCCGGTTATCCCGACTGGATAAGTTGTAAACATAAAAGCGTAAGTGTTGATAAGATTATGTTGTCTACGTAACATGTGTGGTATAGATATCATCACTGTCGGTATATTTGTACTCAAAACAGTATTGTTTATATTGCGGCGACGCCATTGGTCGCAACGGCGCGTAATACACATTTTTACATTTTTGACTTCATTGTGTTCGTTACACGTAGAGAGAAGTAATATTTTTGAAGGAAGCCTAAAATACGCAAAAATGTCACTTCTTATGTAGATATACATATAACGTTCAAAACAAACATCCGCAAATAAAACAAGTGTGTAATCACATAATCATTTATTTTATCTTGGATATAAAATTTCTCACCATAAATAAAGTAAATTATATATTACATAAATAATTATTTACAATTTTTAAACAAAGTTCGCTATACAAAAATTTACATCCGTAAAAAATACAGTACATACATTCTCTTTAAACATTTTTAAACAAGAAACTAAGTATAACCTGTTTCGAGTCATGGCATAAATTAATTAAGGAACACTTGTAGGTCTTCTTCCCTAGTCTCTTCTTACCTAAGTCACTGGCCAAAAACTTAAACCTATATTTTTTACATATCACTCGTATAAATGCGAAGGTATGAAAAAGTCCGCAGTAATATACAACATCTTCGCGTACCAAAAGATCCCAGTCGTCGGCTTTGCCACCGCCCTCGTCTCATTCCCCGTCCAGCCCCCCAAAGGTCGGCTTACCGCAGTCCACAACCGCCCCAGCCCTTCGTGGACGTTGTGCGCCAGCCTAATAGGCGAAAACGCCCAATGGGCTAACCACTGACTATCAATGGTAGCATAACACGACGCTGCCACCCCGTCCACTATTACGGTGCCGGCGGCGGTCAAGGGGGCGTACACCCCCGTCCTCCACACGCCTTCTACACGCACAATTTTCTCCTTTATGAGTTCTTTTGAGTCACTCACGAGCAAACTGTCACCAACTCGCAATTTTTCTGCGTATTTGGCTGTCCAATCGTCGAGAAGGACGAGGTGGGAGGGGGTGATAGTAAGGGTGCGACCGGAAGAGAGAGTGATATAGAGGAATTCGCGTTTTTGCTGGGGGTCGTAATCGAGAAAGAGTAGCACCTCGCTGAAGACGAGTTGGTTGGTGGAGGAGTCCAACGCTTGAATGAACTCCCCAATCTGGAGGTCGGACAGACGGCGGCGACCTGTGGCGGTGAGGACAGTACTATCGCCGGAGAAGCAGCCGCCGTACTTGGCTGCTTGAGAAGATTCTGGAAAAAAAAGTCGTTTAGAAGAAATCTTCATCTAGTGCCTGCATAGAAGCACAAAAGAAACTAAGAGCAACAATTTATAACAGACTAATAAAAAAAAACAACATTTATTTATGAGCATTCTTCATTTTCGCGGGTTAATCCAAAGTAAAATTCAAAATCAGGGCTACGAAGTCTTTTTGAATTCTTCCTGTAATTGTTTTAGAAAATTAATATAAGTATACCTACTATAAACTAACAGTCTCTTGTTTCTTTTTTTGATGTAATGTAATTTTTAATTTGGTTGGGGACTTTCTCTAGGTGACGATTTTGTAGTGGCAGCACATAAGTCGCAGTCTCCCGCGAAAAGCCAAAACTATCACACGAGCCGCGAATTATGTCCATAAAACCAATTTAGAAGTGCGTACAAACCACTTAAAACTGATAAATAGGTCGTCCTGTGAGAACAGAAATTCGGGAAGGATAAATAATTTGTGAATCTTGATTTTACGATGTTGGGACCGTAAGAGTGCTGTGTTGGTTGCGTCATCGAACGACTTTAAACTTAAAACGACATCACAGTTACATCGAATTCCCTGACTTCCCTAATGAAAAACGTCTTCGTTTCTGGTGAGCGTTTAACCAAATTTCTTTTTTGAATGTTGCGAAAATTTCGTCAATATAAGGCAAATAGGTCACGTGCATGACGTCATCATGTGTGTCAAAGTTGTAGGTATGATGGCTAGGAGGTGATCAAACTTACTTGTTCGTTGCTGTAGCAAAAAATATGATGTCATCGATGACGTAATAAAATTATTTTCAACTGCACAGATTGTTCTGTAGAGTACATACTTTTACATATTTGGCTTAGGTTACAATATACAGTGTTTATAGAGTATTCTAAAATATTATAATTTTCTAATATTTTATATAATTTAGTTTTTTCAAATAGAACACCTGTATATTAGTAGATACGGCATCTTACCGCGGCGTTTTTATTCTTTTTATTTTTTTGTGAAGTATTCCAGAATTTGTTTGACAATGGTAAATGGATAATTAAAATTTATCTGTCATCCCCTCGAAAACAAGATCACGTCATCTCAAAATTTTTGTATAAAAATCCTATGTAAGTTATATGTATGTTTACACTTGTGGTTTTTTAGAATTGCTTATACAATTTATTTCACGTTATAAACGAAAAGCTTCAACTACAATTTAACAACAAAGAAAAAAATGATTTTGACATATCTAACTAAAACCACTTTTCAGTTTGCACTTTTGTTAATTTTTAGGAAAAAAATGTTTAACGCGTCAAATTTCGACAATGTATATTCAGAAAACTCTAAATGTTTAATATCGGAATCGACGACGACACCACAGAAACTACAAATTCTTTAGCAGTTCGCAAAGTGCTCCTTATCCGTTGATAAATTCCTGCACAAAATGTATGTCACTCTCCGCTTGTCCCAAAACTAATGGCCCCATTTCGGGCAAAATCCGAACCACGCACACAATTCCCATAAAAGCGCGCGACATAAAATCGACAACATCGACTGTGGTGGTTTATCGTCTGAAGGAATAGATAACATGAACTACTAAAGTTAATTTGGGGCTATTAAACTAGCAGCAAATGTCAAAGGCGATGCTATCTGAAATGTATCGCTTTCAAGTGGCCGTCGCCGAGGTTCTGGCGTTCAAAATAACAAATGACCAGATCGTTGGGATTTGATGATAATGCGCTGCAAGTTGGTAGGATTGGGTGCCGTTTCGAAATTAAATATTCTGGTAAAGATAAACCTTATTTATAACTAAACCGGTTCCGCCGGAGATGCGGGATTTCGTTAGCCCGAAATATCGCACACCGATGAAAATTTCACAAAAACCATGTACTAAATTAATTTTTTTGTTAAAACTAGGGCAGAGAAAACGAGATCTGGTCGGGTGCGACACTGTGGTTACGAGAATGTCAAACTGTAGTGGCGGATTTGATTATTATTAACGGTTAATAATAATTAGATTCAGTTATCAAAGTGAGGTGATAAAAAGACACGATGGTGTCTGGTACCTACTCCTCAAGTTTTTTTGTGAACGCATGTAAACTTGGCTTTGTAGAATTTAATGGTATGCGTTTGTAGCGACCTGAACAATCTTATTACTTATTTTCGTGTATTTTGTTCCATTTTACTTCCCGTGCGTAAGCGAAGGAAGTATTGTAATATACATAGAGTTCATCGGACGACTGGCCACTTTCATGCTTTTTCGACATTCCATCGCCCCTAGAGTACGAAAAAAGTGATCTCCCGTTTCTGTCTGTATCAATTTTTGTTAAATCGCAGAAGCTCCGAACTATTGTTGTCAAATTTTATAGATATATGTATGTTAGGAATATGGTGTAGATGGTAAAACGGCTTTAACTACAATTTTTTTAATCATCCCCACCAACGATGTAATGATGTCATCTCCAAAATCTACAATAGTAAATGTTATTTAAATTATAGTAAGTATGTATTTGTGGTTTATGAGTCCGTGTTGAGTTTTACCCTAGGTATCCAGATTTTTGGAAAAAAAATCAAATACTCTGAAATCTTCTGAACTTTTTTAAAGTTATCGTAAGCAGGGTAAATGGTTAATAAAAATTTATTCCGTCCCAAAAGATTGAAAATTTTCCCTAATAAATCTAACCTTTTGACCTGAGTTTATATTTGTGGTTTATCAGTGCAGTTATAGTTTTTAGAATCACTTATCCAGGTGTCTCAAAAAAAATCCGAAAATGTGAGTATACAGTATTAGCACTACGCTACACCTATTCGAATTGGCATACGTGTCCCTGCTAAAATGTTGATAACGTCATTACAAAATTTTGTTATGGAAAAGCTTACTTGAAACATGCGCATAACATGCTTTTTTGCCTGTATTTTGATAGTCCACACGTATCTTTATATTAACTTGTAAATTGGGGTTTTTACAAAAAAAATATTCTCCAAGGACCAATTTTGTATATTAACACGTTTAATTGCACGTGTAATGTAAAAATATTCTACACTTCGACTTCTGGTGATTTACCACATAGGTACTTAAAAAAAAAAAACAGCAAACATCAATTTAACAGCTCACAGAATTAATATTTGCGAATTTTTGTACTTGTAATGAGCCAAGTTCTCAGAAGAAGACCACAAATTTGTCAATATTGTGCAAGTGCAACGTCAAACTTAGTAAATTTGCTTATTCTAATAAGCGTTATGATGATCGTAACGTGCTAACAACTATTTTCGGTACATCGCAACTTCCCACAATTCATACCTGCACAAGTGCCAAAAAGCTTAAACTCAAAAACCAATTATGGGCTCTTTTCAATCCCTTGTAATCGCATTACACAGGTTGAAACAAGCCTCACCGAGAGACTTAACTTTTGCCTTGTCAATCTTCGCATGATAGGTGGGATTAGCAGTATTGGTTTTGCGGTATTTTCCGTTTCCTGAAACTTTATCCTGTGTTTGTTAAATGGTTTAAGTCGAATCAGTCAGGTGTACAAAATTCTGTTATTCGACTCTCTCAGAGATTATGATTTCTGAAAAGTTGTCAAGATAAATGTTTCTATACGTGCAAAAGATTGTTGTTGTGCGTCTTAAGATCGTCCCACCGTCTGAGTACTGACGGGCGAAGTTTATACCGGATTATTTGGTGACACTAGAAGATTAGTCATACCATTATGCGACTACCTGATATCATTACGCCCATCTAATTAGATACGTGTTGGGTCAACGAAGTTGACCTTGTCTAACCGCAACTCGAACTTTTATCTACTTTTTAACGCATCCGGATTGTATTTCAAGATGATGGTAATTTTTCTAATGAGCAGTCATCGATTATTCCCGGCGTGAGACATTTGGTGCAATACTAAATTCTTTTAAATAACATTTCCTTGTGTAAGTAAAAATTTAATCAAAATAAATAAATAACAAATAGGCAATAATTAAAAAAGGAATTATGACGTTTACTCAATTTAGAACCGAGATAGTATAGTTGGTTTTTGGGGAAGGCGGCACAGTTGTATGTATTATTAATACTTATACCGCAGCTCGCTCCAAGAGTATAAGTGTCTGTGCAATATGCATTTAATTTTGTTTTGTGACAGGGACAATTGCCGTTATAGAACTTTGTCACACTTTATTTCCCACTTAACCTTTCATACCAAATAAAACAAATCGAAGGACGATTTCGTCACAGTCTCATCAAAGCATGAAAATCCTCGCCCTTGACTTTGACGAGCCCAACTTATTTATTATATGACAAATAAGTAAAAAACCCATCCGGGAGCCAACCGATAATTAAATTGACGCCAATAAGTGTGATTATCCCTTATCGTAAATTCATGCATCTGTAACAATAATTAAATCGATATGAAATTATACGAATGCAAGCTGGTTGCCAACGCGGACAAGAATGCGCCATATTTCAGCGAGCGCCTTAGGGCCCCGGCTTGTAAAAACTGTTGACAATCGTCTTATAAATATCAAAGATAAGATCAGCCGTGTTCGTAGTTTTTTCGATTTTCTTCGATGCATGTACCGACTCGGTAATTATTCTGTTATACAACCGTGGCTGACTTCATCATTTCCAATTTTCTAAAGGTTAGGTTTCTCTTCCATCGTAAAAAAAAACGGAGATGATCGTAAATCATTGATTATGACAACGACGACTGCTTAAAAGAGTGTTATATAAGAGGATTTAGCATTCTTGCAAGGGTTAAGACGTTGACGGAGTATTGCTTGGGAGATTTTCGAGAAGCATCTTATTTGTTGTACGTTGTACAAATGAAGAATTGCTATGATGCTTTTGTAGCCATTCTCACGCATAGTTGCCAGTTGGCTAAAAATACAGCTATAATTGCGCCTTTTTCGTTTTAAATTATATGTAGTATTTTTTTAATACACCATTGTATTTGCCTAAAATCCTCTCTTAAATCTACTCCACAACACAGAAAAGCAATAACTGGACTTTTTTAAAATGGAGAAAATTGCAATCGTAGTGTGATTCAGTTCTCCTTTTTGGAAATTAAAACTGAGAAATAAATCCATGACAGAATTTTTTGGACTATTCATATTCTACTTATGCAACCATTTGTCTTTGGGTTAACGAGTTCAAGCGCGGGAAATATCCGTTGAAGACGTACCACGTTCTGAAGGTCCAAAAACTGTCGTCATACCAGAAATCATTGACAAAATTCATGATAGGGTTTTGACCGATAGACGTATAACCTCCGACGCAACAAGACGTGTTACAACTTTGAAGCCTTGCTCTGTCTGTGGCACTATATAGCTCCCAAAGGAATGAACCGATTTTAATGTTTTTTTTTTTTTTTTGTTTGATAGCTGGTTTAATCGGGATGGTTCTTATTTATGTTTGAGTTCAATGGCTTCAGCTATTTCCAAATCATCAGGTCATAGCACAGTTAGTGTAGTAATCAGCTCAATCGTCGACCGTCGCAACGATCTTAACCAATTTCAGACTTTTTAAGGATTATTTTTTTTGTGCCGGGGGTTTTTAACCCTTTGGTGGTGTTAACACGTGTTATGAAATTATTGAGTCTATTATTAGTTTGTTTATATCGTAGATTTCGATCCGATCGATTTTCGAGACGATCGAAGTTGTCAAACCCATTTTAATCTACGAGCGTTTATATCTCGGAAAACAGTCCGTTCGATCCACTGATTTGTAGTTTGAAATTGGATTGAGTTTGACGTTTGGAGAAAGATAATAGTGTAACCAGTGATGGTGTAACACTATTTCTTTTTATGTGTGAAGTTGTCAACATAAATAGTAAACCTATAAAAGTTCAAGTCCGTTTACATAGCTTCTTCAAGCATTTGAATCCGTTTTAGATCCGATCGGTTCGATTCAATCCGACTAGTTTGTCAGATCGAATTTTGATAGTGAACCCACTTCAACATTCGATCTGCAGCGTTTATACCATTAGTTTCAATCGGATCGGACTGAGTCGATCGGCTCGAAATCCACGATATAAACTAAGTATATATCATGATTTTTCATTTCAGTCTTCTTCTGTTCATAAGTACTAAGTAAGTATACCTATGTTGCCAACTGTAACAAGTGGATACTTGATGCAAAATATGTGAGGCTTAAGCTTCACCTAAGATTAATTTTTGTATAAATGACGTTCGTTAAAAGACAAGCAGTCAGTTTAGTGTATGAACTTAAGCTTTGCATTTGATAATTTGACAGGTATATTGATTTGAGATTTTTTTCGCATAATTATTATCAGTTAAATATGCATTTAATATTTAACAAGTTCTTTACAGATCTTATTACCTGATTTCACGGAGCAATGTATGTGAGACCTACTTTCGTAGTAGACCCAATCGAAGCCCGCTTCCACAGCCAGTCTAGCCAACATTCCGTATTTCGAACGGTCTCGATCGTTGGTCGTGATATCCACAGCTCGCCCTTCGTAGTGAAGGGAGTCAGATGAGTGGAAACGCTCTTCGTCCCATCCTTCGGTCACGAAGAGGCGAACTCCAGGCCATTGATTCATCACAGATATTGCCAATGTGTTCAGCTTTTCTTTACATCTCTAAAAAAAAAAAACACTTCTTTCAGCAAATCTTAATTAATCGTTGCGGACAATCTTTTGTAATAATAGTAACAAGAATAATGAGCTTTTTTTTTGATCACTAGGTGATTTTCTTAAAATTCCATAATTTTAGTAGACAATACAGAAAGAAAGTTAGTGTTGATTTAAAAAAACCTGATGGGATCAGTTGTTTTAAAATAAAATGAATATAATGAAACAAACACAAATTCGTTTTTATTACATCTTTTTTATTTTATCGAATTGTTCTACAAAACGATACCACACCATAATAATAGATCTTTCTTTTGAACGTAATTATAATTGTTTTACTTTTTGTGCAATAACCAGATATGTTTTTAAGCGCTCTTCACACTCGTTATATCAAATTTTTAATTTTTGTGAGCTTCTTCTTTAGTTTTCTTGTAGTTTTTATGAAAAAATTAAGCCAAGCATTAAAACAATACATCAGCAAACGGCACCAAATAAACAAAAGGCCAGTGTCCACTATTCCCTGAAGCCCGAGCCTTTTACGCTTTGCATTGTGTCCCTTTGCGGGTGCTTGTTTAGTAGTGTTAACAAGTTATGCCGTGTTAGCAACGTCCCAGTCGAGCAATGTTTGACATTCGACTATAACGAATTCTATTCTTCGATTTCTTTGTCGTTGGATGGAACCGATGTCCCGCTGCACCACTCCTCCCATGTTTGACCAAGACCAACAAAATCGATTTCACGTGCGTCACTCACCATTCAAATGTGTACATATATTTTTTTCAACAAACATCAAAATATTTTCACCGTTTCGGAAAAAAGAACTACCTGGGCCGCATGCACGCTGTGGGGTGACTATACAAGTGCAGTACGAAAGAGCCAGTGTATCAAGACGCCCATTTTGACTTAATTTTTGCTTTTACGCCAATTAGATCATCATGCGATCGACATTCACTTTTCATTTATGCCATTCATTAGTTAGTTTTAGAGTTAGCCGTCGCTAAACGATTGAAAATTCCAACATAAATAGAGTTACGAGTTGCCGATTGCAAAATGCACAAGTGCATAAAACGCTCACAATAAACAACTTCATTACAAACTACCTATGAATAATTAATACAAATTTACAATACATTAGCATATCTATTAATAGATGTAAACATCTATTTTACTCTTTTACTGTTATTTCATTATTTACTACTACAGAATGATAATGTGCGATATAAATCTAAACGTCATAAAATTGCTTGTCTTGTTTTACAAATCGGTTAAATATGCAGCAGACAAAGACTTGTGAATGAACCGCTTCGGTTGTAAATTATTATTGAATATATCGAACCCACCACAGGTCCATTGTGGTTCTATTTTATGGCAGGTAAACATTGAGACAGTTTTAGCAGTGGGAAGGAGCATTTTGTAAATGGGTGATGAATGGTACGGGACGGAAAATTTCGAAAATGTATTGTACCCACACAAATGACGCTAATTTTTTAAAGTCAGCGCTGTTGCAACTCGGGAAACGAATTATGAGATTTAGGTATATGAATTTATATATGTAAATCGAGGTGGAGTATTTTTAACCGGTGACACAAGGCATACCACATCAATCGCTGGAGGATAACGAAAATCTATTCCTTCAGTATACACCGTGCGTTTTAGATTTTGTGGGCCAGTTTCCTTGGCAGTTAAGATATGGGTATGCAATGCAGAAGAAAACCGAGGTTCATTTGTAATGATTTATTTAAAATATCTAACGTATAAATTAGAAGATAGTTTCTGTTACCAAAAATGTTACATATTCACATATTTTCTTATATGTTTGTGAAACTGCATCTATGAATTAGGTGTGTTTTTTCGTGTTATTCATCGTCAATGAATTGCTGCTTTCTGTTTTCATAAACCAATTATTAGTTTTGTTCTCATGGTGATGAAGTGGGATTTCCACGAAATTATAAACCCTGCGCTATCTCAAATAAGTTTTACCACGGGTGTAAAACAATCGTTCCGATAAGAAGGTGTCGAAAACGTTTAAGCCAGGTATTCACTTCCTGTCCGAAAATTCCGAGCGTGAGAAATGACAGGTATGATAAATACAGTCCTGGTGCAATTTGGTCCGGTCCTGTTATTACCATGCAACAAGTGAATCGATTAATAAGAGCGGCGTTGCAAGTCGAAGAAACTCATGTTATTTTTTCCAACGACATGGACCAATACAATGCCTCGCACATTTTGATTAAATATTTATGATACCGGTTTATACAGATGAAGGGGGCAAATGAATTATGATTCGTTGGTTTTGTGTTGATGCCTCGACAAAACGATTGAAAAATGGCCGATTTTATGGACAGAGCCGTCAATTCATCTCGACTTCTTCATGTTAAATATTTATTAGTTTCTCAAGCTTTTATGGCCGTGCAATAATCGAGCACTTATTATGTCCGTAAAAGGGTCGCGAACTTTTCGACTTGCTAAATAGCGTTTTTTTTTTTCGGCGAAGAAAAAGAGTTTTCTTTAAACAACGCGTTGTTATTGGCCGAAGGGCAACCAAGGGTGTAATCTGACTAATCCCTCTTGAAAGCGCTTTCTGCGCCGCAAATCTCGACTTATTTCTGTGGAGCAATTGACTGAAAAATTCAATCTATTGGTTCTTTGTGCCGCATATTGATATTTTCCGTGCGATGAATAGGAGACCAGCATTCCTCTTTAAAAGGTAAAGCGGCGCCTTTTGGGATTTCAACGTATATTCATTTTAAAGCAATATATTTAAAATGGACTAATGGATAAATGTGTACATAAGCAATGTTTGCCCGACGTTTAAGGCCAGGTATTGTGGCGGCCTACCCATGGGTCCATTTTACAAAAACTTTGCGGCTTCGTTTATTGTCTGACTTGGGCAGATATGGTTTTCTTCCGGTCCTGTTCCCACCTGTGTCTTTTTCGAAAATTTATCACCTTGTCGACCTTTGAAAGGTGTGCTTCAGTAGGGGATTGTCGAGGGGCGAGAGCGGTGAATAGAAAGAAACCGTACAACATATTACCTACATACTTACTTTCCTCATTTGTTCACAAGCATCTTTTCTGATGCTAATTTCATTTGAAAATTTTTATTGTTGGAAGAAATTGTAAAATTATGACACATTTTGGGGCGTTTTTAACACGTTTGTTCTTCATTTTTTTATCTAATTCATTCATTGTAAATCATTGTTAACCTAGTGAAAATACCTTTCGATTCACAATTACGAGAGCCAAAAGTGAACATAATTGCGACACGAGCCCAAATAGCTTAGTTTGTTGCAACAAAATTTTATCTCTAAAAAAAAAAAATAAGTAGGTAAGTACCTACTTGTGATAACGTAGTTTTCGTGTATTAGAGATTTAGGTACTTGTTCTTTTTTCGAGACTTCTAGTTGTTTTGTATTACTGAGACTGTAGTAATATGCAAATTTTAAAAGAATTTTTTCACTTTTTTATGTGTTTTAAAGTTAGTGTATTTTAAATTTATGTTCTAATAGGTGGTACAGCTGTCGATTTTTTTTTCACTCGGTACAGTTTGAGCACGCCAAACGAATAACTTATTAAACTATATTAGGTATTTCAAAATTTGTGTTCAACCTTTTCAAAAAATTTTCGGCATTTTAGAATTTTCTTAAATTAACTTAATATTTAATGATTTAATAATTCGCCTCTATTTTTAAGTTTGTGTAGGGGAGAGGTGGGGCATTTTTGTTGTAGAAGGTCTAGTAAATGTATAAAATATAAATTCAAATAGGTAGGAACAGTTATTTAAAACTTCAATTATTTGGCTATAAAAATAAAATGCAAGAATAAATCTTGAACGATTCTTAGTAGTACCTGCCTATATATTTTCGCAGTTTTAAAAAAGTGTAGGTATTTTGTCCATTTCATAAATAGGCTGCATTGAAAGGGACACAATGATTTAAGGAAGGAGATAGTGTCTTAATATGTAAGTAAATCACATAAGACATTGTCACACTCAGGTACGTAGTTTTACTAAATATTCGAAAGTGTATATAAGTACAATTTCAAACTCTCTTTAATTTGAAATTACATTTTTCAAGTAATTGAGATCAATAAGTCTTACATTTCTGATACCTAACAATGAATAAAAATGTACCCCCATATAATTAAGAGAAATAAAACAATTATAAAATCCTTCTCAGAAAGATAATTGCAAAGATAAAGTTTCATATGCCCATTTTGTGCATTTTACACTGAAACTAATCTTCAACACTTTATGAAAAATTCTCCTTATAACCATTACACTGGTTATCGCTATTCGTTTATTTTCTGACCGATGGCTATGCTATCTCAGTTTTGGACTAAATACTTTACTCTCCGAACTATCATTTGTGGAATCAGAATCAGGATCTGTATTCGACGACAAATCATTGCTGCATAAGCACAAAATTCACTAAAACAATGTTTACTAATCTTTTGTTCTCGTATCTGGATGTATGTACCTATGTCACCGGGTATAAGCATCACTAATAACTGTTAACTAAATAATTTACAGCACTGTACAGGAAGTTTATAAAGAATGGTGAAAAAATACTTTGGATCACAATTACTTATAAACACATGCACGATTTCGCCATCTTTGAAATGACAGGAGAGTAAAATAGGTGAGAATAGGTGCATTAGGATTGTCGTATAACAAACATTGTGATCATTCGATATAATCTTTATTTTGCTGGGAATTTGAATTGTCCCTTTCGATAGGTGTCTCTTTCATGCCACCTCCCCCCTACGCTACCATCAAATTTTATAATTTATGTCACAAACTATATAAGAGACTTCTACAAAATTGCGGTATGACATTAGAGTTGATTTTTTGGGACTGTACAGTACTAACTAAAATTAATTAAATCATCTCTTCCTGAAAGTCGATGACGCCAACAGATGCGGTGTTGGTTGCTCTTCAGGGGCGAGGAAAATTTTCACTTACTTATTTTTTCAAATGACTACGATTTCAATGTTCTGGAAAGCTAAAA